CTCAGTAGGCCCATCCTCAGCACTATGCACTTCCAGATCCAGTACCAATGATACTATAGCTTACCTGCACATATTCATATCGCAGTTGTTTTACACGTTCACTGTTTCTTTCAAAAGGAATTCTGTAAATTAGTTTCATTCTGATTCCATTGCATGCAAGTAGACCACCATGGGCAATCTACATATACATGATTTTGCAAGATGAGTCTAAGGATTTGTGAGTGTAGCTTGAATTTTAGGGTTTGTGCTTAGTGTTTTGTGAACAGCAGAAGAGCTTATTGGAAATGTGTTTTTGTGATTCAGAAAAACTGTAACCAAAGAGGAAAAACCATGTTATATTTTAAAAACATAAAATTAATGTCATGCTGCACCGGGCAGAAAGTTCTGATCATACTTTGTAAAGAGAAAGTGATGTGAGACACCTCCAGGTAAAGAAATACAACAGTAACAGCATGGTGGCAAAGGATGTACCGACGATGATGATGCTGATGATGATGAAGGTGATGACACTGATGATGATGAAGGTGATGATGCTGATGATGATGAAGGTGATAATGATGATGACTTAGGAAAATTGGACAGATGGGAAACACACATATGGACAGAGGATGCACACCCAAAAAATAAAGCTTTTATCATACAATATGAAAGAAACGTTTTCTAATAATACTTTCTATGTACCATCTGTATCCAGCAATGCACAACACTGATGTTAAAATGAAAGTACAAAAGTCTAAAAATAAAACGGTGATTCAGATGTGCAAATTGTGTCTAATTAGGTGAGCACTGTTTAAAGTTTTGCCAAACGAGTGACTAATTCAATAAATTAGTTTTGGCAGTTGATGTTAAACTCGAGCTTAAACTTTGAGCCTCATGTAAATAAAGTTCAACTTTTATCGACTGAGAAATATTGCTAGAGCATCTCTGTCTTTTGTAGATACTGAAAAGATCATGCCTGTGATTAGTACATCTCATCTGGACCAGTGTAATGCCTTATTTGCTGCACTGAACAGCTCTTTCATTGCTCATCTCCAGTTCATACAGAGCGCTGCAGACGGACTACTTACGAGATCAAAGGTTCATGAGCATATTGTCCATATTTTGACGTCACTTCACTGGCTACCCGACCGATTCAGAATTTATTTTTAAATTTTATTGATCACTAGTTAGGCTTCGCATGGTTTGGCTCCTGAGTATGCATCTGAATTAGTGGTACCTTATCAAACAGCTACACCCTTAATGATCATCTGGCCAAGGTTTACTTGTCATTCCAAACTGCAGACTAAAGACCAAAGGTGATAAAGGATTTTCAGTGATGGCGCCTAGACTTAAGAACATTAAACATTTAAAGTCACATTTAAAAACACAATTTTTATCATGCACTTCTTGTTTTTTGCTGTGGTTAACACTGTTGCCTCACATCTCAGGGACCAGCGTTTGCGGTGGGTTGGCGCCCCATCCTGGGATAATTCTTCCCTGTCTTGTGCCTGTAACCCCTGGGATCAGCTCTGAACCCCCCCCCCACGGCCCTGAGTAGGACAAGTGGGTACAGAAAATGGATGGATGGTTCTGCGCGATATGATGAGAAGCACTTTGTGCAGCCTGGCTTAAGAAGCACTATATACATAAATGTTTACTTATTCATTAATGTCTTGTGTGTTTTATGCTGTCTCATGTGTGAAGCTCTTTTTAAAGCCTTGGATAAACTCTACTTCATTTCATTGTATGCCTGCAAATTTTGAAAGGACAGTGAAGTTTGACTTAAACCAGAAAAGGGATTTTTAAGTAGAAATTTCTTGTTGATATGTTATTTTACGCAAAGCTGTCCATCCATTGTATAGCCAGGAGAATAGCTGTCCCTGTTAGGTATCTGCCCGCCCAGTCTTTACTCCCCCGGCCGCAGAACACAATCTGTATTGTCTGTCTATCTGTTTTAGTTTGCGACTAAACAATCGACAGCCGAGAAAAGGAGGCTTTGTTTTCTGGCCATAACAAATGCAGCATTGTGACATTCATAGATATGAAGAATGCTAATGGTTGTGGAATAAGATGGAGCAAAAATCAATGAACATTAAATCAATCAAAACCAAATGAACCAGCAGCACAAAGCATGCCAACCAATCAGGGTCGGATTTTCTGGGACCCCACTCAAAGATGCACTCCGCCCAATCAGCTGAGAGGATGTCACTGTTATCAGCATATAGACCTCCTTCAAGGAGCTCGTCCCGCTTTGGGATGTCTTCAGTCTGTCTAGGAGATCATTGAGCTGAAGACTCCCTTCTCTCTCCAGCTGCGAGGCTCCATGCGTTTACAACATAACGCAGCCATTGTTCACTGAGCCCAGAGCAAATCAGTAGACATGGGGAGAGTCAAGTCAAGCGAGCCTTATTGTCATGCTTTCTATACACATTTCAGTTTGCTTGATCTTTTTAACAAAGCAACAAGGCTGGGTCAGCCAGTCCCTGGAGAAATTGAGAATTAACAGTGAAATCATTTTGCTGGTACTGGCATATAAATTCTGAGTCCTAATTCACATTCAATAGCAGGTGGGACTCGAACCCACAATCCCTGGCTTAGGAGGCCAATGCCTTATCCATTAGGCCACTGGGGCTGTCCTTTGGATGTTTACGCAGGGAAATAATGAGGACATGAACAGAATACAGCCAAGCAATTTCACTATTTATTACACCCAGCATCCATTGAAGGCCTGGATGTATTTACTTACCGTTGATTAAATTAGTAACTGACATTTAGCTGAACTGTTGTAAACTCTATAGCAGAAGCACATCTAACAATGTCGCTCAGAGCCAGACGGCACTACGCTAAAAACCTCTTTGCTATATTGGTCTTGTTTTTTTTGTCTTCTTCTGACGAGAACAATAAACAGCCCACTGGCTCCTGGGTTATTACAAAGGATGAAGAAACACTCAGATCTAGCTATTTTGAAAGCTGGAGAAGAAGCCATTTCTGTGAGCAGAGACTGTATGCGTGACCTTTGTATTAGGAGAATGATATGCTAAGGTAATAACTCCATAATATTTAAAAATGATTGGGCTGACGTCCCAGGGAGCAGCAAAGTGAGCTGAGGAGGAGCTGATCCATTCAGTTGATCTCAGCCTTGCCATTTGTTGTATAAGATTGAATTTTATTTTCACTGCCTCAGTCAACATACCTAGACCATGTTACCCAGCCCAGCTCCCTACTGCAGCCCTCCTGTAACCCCGATTCCTACACTCTCATGACGAAACAGCCACAGCCACCTTCTGACACTGTTTTTCCTGGCTGCCTTTTCAAATTGTTCCAGTTCCTTCCTTCCCTCCACATTTCACAGGTGTCATGGCATGTTTTCCACCCCTGATATTCTTTACATTTACGGCACCCTCAAAACAGAGTGATGAAATGAAGCTTTAGCTGCCAATTGTACAGGTGCATTGAAATACGTTGGATTTTCACATGTTCCATCATTTTTGGGGGGTTAAAGGCCTAGATGGCTACATCTCCAAGCACAGGATTCCAACAGGCAGCCTACCGGTCCCAGAGACGGAGGTCTGACCTGCCCAAGGCCAGAGAAAGTGGCTCTGTTGACGTTATCTACATTAACACAGCATGAGGGCAGAACTTCTGTAAGGTATTTTTGAAAGCTGTGCCTTTGGGGTCAGGTGCACCAGCAGGTAGCTACGAGGCTATCGGTGAGTCATGAGGCTTCCTGGGCTATTCTGCATTGCTCACATAGTGGAAATAACTAATCACTATAGTTTAACATCATTATTATTAACTAGAACAATACATTAAGGCAAGTTAAATATTAAATTGTTTTTTTTTTAAGTATGCAATGTCTACCTGGCAGTAATGACGTACACCTAAACCCAGGCTGAAGATGGAAAATTCTAGAATGTCTTCCTGTGTTATTCAATCAAAGTGACCAGAGAGAAAAGGCAGAGCACCTGTCATATCTTGATCTCTCCGAGGCAACACAAAGGACTTTTACCCATAGTCTATTCACCCAGGTAACATGATTGTGGCGGCAAAAATAAAGGTGTTAATCATTAATCAAGTCACATAATGATCACTAGTGGTAAAACGGAGACTTGAGCACACATCACTCAATCCTGAGGTCTGTTAAAACAAAAGGGAAGTTCCTGGTCAGAAAGTTATATTTCTATGTCTTTTGGATGCCAGTCGCCCTGAAACCACGGGAACAAGGTAATTCTAGATGAGTTAAATAATGGGCTGTGCCTGTACTTTGTGAAACCAAATGGGCTTCATCCAAAGACTCTCACCAGTTGCAACGCGCAAAGGGTTTTCTGACTGCCTGCAGGGCAGTTCAAAGATGCTCGACAATGAGACAACTCTGGATGTGCTAGTTTAAGCTTGTAAATTACATCATAGTTAAGTTACTCACCAAGCATCAACATTTTCATTTCAGTTTCAATTCTGAAACACATTGCACAGGATTTTTGATGCAAAATCTACAGTATTTCTATTACAGGATGCAAAATGCCTTTTCAATGGGTTTCCTAGCAGTAACCCTTAGTAACAACATCTCCAGGAAAATACTCTACTGTACTGTTTCCAAATCCGGTCCTTGGGGTTCCATAGTCGGTCCGCGTTTTTGCTCCCTCTGAGCTCGGTATCAGACATTCCTCCCGGGAGCAAAAACCACACAAAATGTGAAGACTCCCTGTTGATTTATTTTCCATGAGTTATTTCAAATATATAGATATGAAATAATGTGTGTGTATTTTTTATTTCACTTATAAAAAAATCATATATAATAATCATATAATAAATGTGGAAGTTTTAAATTGTTTTGCTAAAAGTACATGACTATTGACTATTGTAACTAACCCCTAATTTTTGGACTGTTTGTCTCTTACACGTCGGCTTATAAACTCCTAAATTTGCATGTCTTTGAAATTATGGTTTTGCACACTCCTCCCCCAAATAGCCTAGAAGACATCAAACAATGTTGCGTTGATGTTGTAAAATAAGTCCACAGAGGGCAAACACGCCCACACTTACCATTAGAGTTACAGCTAAGAGTAAGAGAAGCTGGACAATAAGGGCTTTTAAGGGTCTTGCGGGGTTCCTTTCAGGAGCAAAAGAGTGAAATGGGGTAAGTTACAAACCTTGAATCCACATTTCTAGTTTTAGACACAAGTAAACAACGTGTAGGTCCAGGGTTTTGCATGTTACGCTGATCTGAGGTCTCAACATGTCGTTAGGAAAATCAGACGTAGCCTTGCGTGATAAGGGCCCTGGTGAAGAGGGTTCAGTTAGCCAGGTGTTCTGGCCAAACTAAGTGAGCTTGATGAGACACAGAACTCTCTGAGGTGCAGTGCATTCACAAAGCAGGTGTGATCGGCCATTTAAGGCTTATACAGATCTCCGTAGGGTGGCACTATGAAAACCTTCCAGAACATTTCAGTCTCACCGCGACATAAGACCCATTCTTTTACAGTATATTGGGGCCTTTCTGATGTTACAAATAGAACAGAAAAAGTTCTATGTATGTCAGACAACAATTTCTTGTAAATTTTTACATTTCATAGAAAAAAGTAAATACAGGCAGCTCGCAGGTTAAAAATTAGATCTGTTCCATAAGTCTGTCTTTAAGTCGAATTTGTAGGTTTAGTCGGAAAAATAATAATGTAACACATAATAATTATTATTTTACAGTAATAGAGTAACTAGATAAGGTCCTGTACTGAATCTTGAGCCAAGAAACCGCTGAAATTGTACAATATTTTCATGTGTCGCAAAGTAATGCGAGCCATTGTATTTAACCCAAATTTTTTATTTAATATGCTTTATGGCAGTCTGTGTATAGGTTCGAGTTGTCCATATGTTGGATGTTCTTAACCCAGGGACTACCTGTAGTCGTCTCAGTAGTATAATGGATATTTATTTAACCCAGGTTGATTCTGGTCTTTATTTGCTTCGATTGAAGTGAATTGTCTAATTGCAAATACATTCATGTATTTATTTAGTCATCAAACACAAAATGCCATTTAAAAAATGTCCTGAATTATATTTTTCCCTAGGTTGTCTCAGGGCACAAAAATGAGGTCTGCACATCGTTGTAGCGAGATGACAATTTCAGCTATGTTAATCTTAGTTATTACCATAGTGAGTTTGTCTCAAGCAAGCTCACAGAACCAGGCTCTTCAAAGTAACACTGAGGGATATCAAAGCTCCATCACCTCGAGCAGCAGAAGCACGAAGGTCTCTACGGAATCACCTTCTACCGACTCTCAGAGCGCTTTCACCAATGTGATTCCCTCAACACCACAGAAATTGACCCACAATGCAGCAGTAACAGGGTCATCGAGCATATCGGCAAGCCAGACCTCTGGATCAACTATCTCTGTACCCTCGTCCACCAATCAAACGGTAGCTTCGACATCACCTAACTCTACTCCGACGGATCATGGCAACAGGCCGACCAATGCCAGTGAGGGGTTCACCACCATCAATCAGACTTCAACTTCAACATCGCTTGACTCTACGTCAGCACCGATGAATCACAGCAGCAAGCCGACTGATGGAAACAAAACGTTCACCACCACTGAGCGTCCGATATCAACAACATCATCATCCCTGACAACCGGTTCCTCGCCACCTTGTGCCACACAGAGCCTGAGTAAGGCTGTCTCTCTCCACTGTAACTCCACCCTGCAGATCACTTGTATGTCCACCTTGTTTGGGGCAGTGCACTGGTTACTCCTTAACAAAAATCCACTTCAGTTTGTTCTACAAAGAGCAACAAATGAACAGCTCTGGAGCTTATTGCTACATTGTATTAACAGAAGACAATAAATTCGAAAGTGCTAGCTGTCTTTAACCAGTAAAAGAGTTTCACTTGTTACATTTGCTGTTACTGTACATCACCTTACATACAATTATGTTTGTTATTGATGTACAGTATGTTAACACTGTCGTGTTTGGTCATTGAAAGTGTTATGAATACAAAGCTTCAAGACATGATAAGGTAAACTTATGCGTTGCTTATTAATGTTCCATGAATGGACTATAAATGCATTATGAAGATACACTTAATGTTCTATTACTGCATTATGATGGTGCACTTAATGTAAATCGTTACCCAATATTATGATATTTCTATGAAAGAAGAGGCTCTTTAAATTGTAATGTTACTAACACTCAGTTTCCCATAGACCCCTGCTACCATAAACAGGAAACAAGTGCTGTAGCTGACGATGACATTTCCTGTAGCGACAAGATAAATAATGACTAGGTCTCTCACACACTTGCTGATGGGGGTTAATTTAACTCCGTTGCAGAGAGTGGGCTCACATATGAGGAGATGATCATCACGACAATCATCAGCACTGTCCTCGGCCTCATCGTTCTCACAATGGCAGCATATATCATTTCCATATGCCAGCAGAAGAAGCACCTCTTTATCCATCGACCACTCTACAACAACGCAGAGGAAATGGGTCAGTCATCCTTCATAACTTCCATCTCACTGGTCTTTTCCAGCTGCTGCTTTAAATCAGTTGTTTGGGATGTTTTGCATGTTAGTTTACATGCAGTCTGGGAAGCCATATTGATGCATTCAAATACATGTGTCCTCTCTCCTGTATGGCTAAACAAATCGTAAAAGTAACTATGTGTTGAGGATACTCACCCTAAAATGGAGAGTTTCTGTGTCAACAAAACACAAGTCAAAGTGAAGCATGGTGACCTATCTCTTAACTACATAAGTACAGTATTTCGAGCTTACATGATAAATACAGAGTACAAGTAAAACATACTCAGGAGAAAATACAGACAGTAAGTGCAAAAGAAAGATGTGATGAGAGATGTGGGAGATACTGGAGACAGAGCACCTCCTGATATATCCTGTGGGCGTCCAAATGAAAGACTTCCATCGAATAAAGTAATAACCTGGGACTGTATTCACAAAGCATTTTATCTTACCACTAAGAGTACTCCTAAATCACACTAAAAGTATTTAACTAAGAGCTTTTTCCTAAAAATCTATTCACAAAGAGGATGAGAGCAACTTTTAGTTAGGAAAAGAGCCAACTCCTAAGATGAGAGTAACATTCCGTGGTTTGGCTGACGTCAGTTCTCATGCAATAACCACAGGGATTGGTTGATGAGAGGCTGGTATGTGCTGGTGAAAATGTACGTACAGCATCCCATAAACATAAATACAGTGGAAACCGCTTATAGTGATTATGGTTATAGTGATCAACAGTTTATCAGAATCATCCCTGCACAGACACTGTTTAAATAATTAGCTTACAGTAATCAAGTAGTCTGCTTACAGTGTTCATTTTTGGTCTTTTTAAATATGACAAGATATGGAAAAAATTAAAACTACGGTATTTTAATTTTTTTTTACTTTGAATGCCCTACTTTGCCTTGCGGTAACTCGTCTGCTTCTAGCTACCAGAAGTTAATGCTGGGCACACAGAAGACATGACGAGAAAAATAAAGTCATTTTCTCTCAATGACAAATAAAGACTCATCAAAGTTTATGACAAACTGCCAAAAAACAAGCCAATGAATTGCAGCAGCGAAAGTAAAATAAGGAATATTTTATGTACAGTACAGTACTGTATAATAGCATATTTGAATTATACATAGTTCAGTAGCATCTGAAACATGTACTGTATTTTGAACAAGTCAATAAAATTCAGTACATAGCGACACTGTCCGTTTCATTACCTTTTATTCATGTGATAAATATACAAATGTTAATTAGATGGTAATCTGCGTGAGATATAAAGAAAAGAAAAAGATCTATTATAATTATCATCCGCTTATAGTGATCAATTTCACCCAGACGGACGTGATCACCATAACTTGTTTCTACAGTATATGACTGGGCGGTTTCAGTTTGTTGGAGAGGTTTTTCCATCCCCCACTGGCGCCACAACAATCATTATTCCCTCCCAACTGAGGCTGTATCCTTCAAGTAATTCACTGTCCGTTTAATGTTTCCAAGACATTGTGATGTAGATTGACAGTGTGGCACTGGGTGTTGCATGAGCCAGGGAAAACATTAGCTCCCCCCCAAAGTTGTAACATAATAACACAATGACACAATGCAATGTCAATTTCAGTTTAAAACGAGATCTGTCACATGACTAAATAAGCATTTCAAGCATGCAAGGCAGGGCAGGGCCATCTGGTCAGATTCCTCAGGCAGTGCAATGCATTTATTTGTTTACATGGTACCACTTTACTTGACGGGACACGAATCATATTCATTATACTACTACTTATGTATTAATTAACCACAAACTAAGTCTGAATTACATACTGATCTCAAGGTAAGTTGTCATTAATGAATCGTGATGCATGTTTTATCGCAAACAGTTACTAGATTTGCTACTGTATCTGTAAATTTTGTAAATGCTTGTGAACTACTGAAAGAACGTGTAACGAATAACAAATACTTATCTGATGTTTGTTCATCATCAATGAATTGGTATATATATATATATATATATATACACACATACTGTACATACACACACACACGCACTGCCTGTGATTTGAACTCACAAGCTAGTACAACACTCTGCTTCTTGTGGTGCAGGAGCTGCACAGTGCTGTACAGTGCAGAACCACATCACGCATCCACATCACTGGTTGCTGTTGGGACTTGCTGCCTTATGTATTATTTAGTAGACACTTTTATCCAAAGCATTACACATGTCTGAGAAAGGAGGGTCAGGATAAGTGGAGGTTAAGGGCCTCATTCAAGTACCTAACAGCGAAATCACACTGCCAGCCCTGGGATTTGAACTGATGACCTTCAGATTACAGAAATACCATCCAAACTTGCCCAACCACCCACGTTCTGCGTATATAAGCATTCGTTTCATTCCTAGAGTTTATTTCTGGAGAATTGTAGACTGCACTATTAGATTGTTGATGGTAGATTGTTGATGGTCCCCATGAGATTGGGACAGTGTGTCATGTCTTCTGTCCTTTCCCCGTTGTCACAGGGGACAGGTTTTCAACACCCGACGATACTCTGGTAATATCTGGTGGACTCTACGACGGGCCTCAAACCTTTGAATACGAAGAATTTCCCGCTCAGATGTCCCGGTTACAGCTGGACTTCTTTAACGAGGACTCAGGGCAGCGCTCCAATCATACGGGTCAGTATTAGAAGTCTTTCGGTGGAAACCATACTGTACTTTTTTCAATCAACCATGTAGCTCCCAAATTCCCAAGCACCATTACCTCTCTTCCTGGAAGTTACACGTGAAACAAGGAAGTTGAAGTCATTTTACCACAAAACAAAAGCAAGACTTAAAAATATCAATGTAAAAATACTAATGTGCCACATATTATAATGATGACTAAAGTGATCTTGGTGTTCATCATGTTGTCATCGTATGGTGTCATGAAAGAAGAAAAAATATATAACTGTGGTCTTTAATTTGATCATTTTTAAGATGCATTCATACACAATTAAGAACGTATCAGCAACCCACTATTTGAATTAAGGTTGCATTCATTATTTTGTTGTTTGTAACAGTAACTGTAAATGCATATTCTTACAGTGACTGTTAGGATAAACTTTGTTCAGTCACACTTATCGTGTTGTGGGTGGGACCATCAGTCTTAAACAAGTACAGTCTTTGTAGGTGATAAGCAAAGAATGACAAGAATTACATTTCAACCTTCAACCTACTGCCTGAGAGAGATATTAATATTTTGCAATATTTTAAGCCTATGGATAAAAGTGTATTAAAGAAATTTGAAGTTTATCTTGGACTATCTTAAATGAGTCCAGAACTGCTGAAAAGTGCGTTACATGAAAATGACAGCAAAAAATGTAAATGAGAATATCCTGCAATTCACACCTTGAATGTCCCAATGTATCGCAGTAACTGCAGTTTCAGTTATCCACAGTTGACCACTGTCTGAAAAATAAAATTGTAAAATGTGTAACAGTATGTTTTGTTCATTGTTCCTTGGTCCTTTGTCGGGTATAAAAACACCGTTTTCATTGCTCTATCATCTCTTGAGTTAGGTGAAAACATCCCTTTTGTTCGTTTGAGAGAATGCAGTTACACAGTACTGTACAATAATGTACAATGTACTTCATTATTACATTGTTTAATGTTGGTAATGTCCAGTGGTGGACAGGGTTCTGCTAATCCACTAATCGCTAATTAGCAAAGCTCACTTTTTCATTAGCAGATTACTGTTTCTGCTAACTTTGAAAACCGCTAGCGGACCAATTAGCTTCTGCTAAATTTAGTTTCGTTTACAGTAAATCCGGTGACATTTTTTTTAATAGGTAAAGTGAATGAAGTTTAACTGGCAAAAACCTTTGTAAACCCTAGAATCATGCTTAATTGTTCTTATTTGTCTATCTCGCATGCTGTTGGCTGACTACATGTAAACACAAGAGGTGATTGGTCGATAGCTTGTCAGATTTAAAGTAGTCTGGGATAAATGTAAATGAACAAAGATAAAGTCCATTTAAACTGGGGTACCTTACACTGCATGGAGAAAGGGTGCTTGTATCACAAAGTTGAATTAGCTGGATAACCTGTTGGATTTAAGGTTCCTAGTTTAAATGGACTTCCTCTTTAGTTCACTTAAATTTAGCCTAGGCTACCATAAATCCAACAAGTTATCCGGCAAAGCAATAAATCCTGCTTCGTGATACAGGTCCCCGGCTGTATTTTGAGGGTTCTGATTGACAGAGCTATAGACCTATAAAGAACTGAGACCCTCCTTCCTAATACAGGGTAAATGGCACAAAGTCCCTAAGCAGCTCCATTGTGGGCAAAATGTCAGCCAGTTGTGAAATAGGGGTTCTCCGACAAAATATGCTTATATCTAGCAAATGGAATATCATAAAAACAAAATTTCAATGCAAATTTATTCTGGAGGCTGTAAATAATTCAATGATTCCCAAGTGAGTAAGTCCTACACATCCCCTGGTAATCACTGTAGCCCGAATGATGGGGCTTAAGCGTTAAACAGGTTATTTTAGCTGCCTAGGTATGTTTTCAAGGGTTTCAGAGCCAAAAACCAAACCAACGCTAAATCAGTAAAATACATAAGAAATTTACAAATGAGAGGAGGCCATTCGGCCCATCAAGCTCATTTGGGGAGAACTTAACTAATAGCTCAGAGTTGTTAAAATCTTATCGAGCTCTGATTTAAAGGAACCTAGGGTTTTAGCTTGCGCTACACTAGCAGGAAGACTATTCCATACTCTAACTACATGCTGTGTAAAGTAGTACTTCCTCAAATTCATTTTAAAATGTTCTCCCGTTAATTTCCACTTAAAATTCTTGCAGAGTTAGCAGTTGAGGTTAGCGGATATCTTTAACTTACGCTAAGTTTTTTAAAGGTTTGTCAGTTTAGTGTTATTGAATTAAACTTTGGAGTTAGTGGATTAGTGGTTATTAAAGCTTACTATTCAGTTAAATGTGCCCACCACTGGTAATGTCTTATTGTACGTACAGTAATTTACCAATTAAATTTTACCATATGTAAGTACACAAAATACGTATATATGGAGTTATTGGATGGCTCGCTATCATCCACGGAAAATCTTGGAACATATCACCCACCGATACGGGGGTCAACTCTACAAGGATTTTACTCAATGTCAGAGTAGTAGTAATATTGGAGAATTCTGCATAGTTTAAAAATTCCCAGGAGCAACTGGGATTAAGGGTCTTCCTTAAATTATTGTAGCAGTTTAGAAGTACCGTTCAATCACAGAGACAGGGTCCTAACTCACAGGCACACACCATTACATCGAGGAAAGGTTTTGAATGATAAGAATACTAACAGAGTCTATTTACTAGTGGACAAAATGTCAGTGAGACAGTACCAGCAAACAAAGACGTCTGCCCAACCCTGGCATGGATGTACACAAGAAAGGAAACAAGACACACAGATTTTAATACAGGCATTCCTCACTTAAAAGCATACCTGTTTAACGACCGCCTGGACTTACAAACAGATCTCTGAACAGTCGGTATCGTAAACTGCACGACAACTTTGGTCGTGGAAATGGCAGTGCAGGGTCTCAGCATTAAGCATCTCACCTCACATCACCCTTTCTCAGTCTCAGTTTCGTTCTCACACCCCATAGTACAAGATGTCAGCGAAAAGGATTAGCACTTCACCCGGAGGATGGTTTTTACAATTTTCTGTAATATGTAAGAGTTACGCAAATTATAACAAAGTTATCAAGTTGGAGTTTCCTTTGGATCTTTATTCAGAATAAAAACGATTACCTGTACTTACAGTATGCAAACCTAAGCAATGAATATTAGACCTGATTTCCTCTGTTCTTACGCTAGAAATTTCGGTAAGGGGTGGCTCGACGCTTATCGACAAATTTGCTTAACTGCCTAGTCGTAGGAACAGAACTGGGTCAAGTGAGGAGTGACTGTAGTGCATGTTCCTTTAAGACCTTTAAGAACGAAACACTTGACCTAGTGACAAGATTTATTATCACAGTAAGGAATTTCCACCAGCTCGTCTTCAGATGCTAAAGCAGGCTATTAGATATTACCTTTTTTTGCACACGTAGGATAGTGGTAACTGTCTGAAGAATGAAGAGAGGATTTCAGAAGCCATGTTTCCATTATTTTTTTGTGCAAATTTTCTCTGTACAAAGTGAAATCTCAAATAGGGTGTGTTTCCATTAAAACATGTTATGCAGACAAGACTTACCATTTACCATCATGCAAGATTAAGATGTACTGTATCTCATACTTCATCATGCAGGCTTTCCGCAAATTAATAGCTCTACAACCAATTATTATATTCTATGCATCTACCAATCTCTTTCCATTGCAGTTTTGCAAACTACTACTTTTTTCACTCGCCACAAAAAACACTTTTTTGCAATATTTCAGGTTTTTTTTCCCATTTGAGTGCTTTATTTAATGGTTTTTCAAATCATGTAATCAAAATGCACAGAATCTATGACAATGGAAAGTCCACTACTGTCCCTGACATGTGCCCAGTTCTCCCTCGTTTCAGGGTCTCGTTAAACCTTAACCCAGACCCAGTGTGTTCTCCGCCTGCCTGTAACCGAAAGCCCTGTATCATGTGATACCTTGTGGTACTTCCTCCACAAAGCTGAGTCACAGGAAACGTTTTGGCTCCTTTGTCTTCTGGAAGAATCTGACATGACAAGAACCACCGGTATCAAGTTCAGGAACTACAGGCATTAAATGAAATATTATTTCCAAAATAGAGCCAAACAGGTTTGAGCCCTGCCAAGCAAGCAATTGTTAAGCAAGCTGAACCACAATTAATGATTCATAATTAAACAAGTTACAAGTTCAATTGCAGAGTAGGGGTTGTGCTAAACATTTTAGGAAACAACCTGATTAATAACCCCAAAGCTATCCTTTAATAATAATTGTTTAACAACATCTTCTACACAACAAAACAAGTAGTCTTTTCTTGTGCCAGTTTTTTCAGCCCTTAAACAGATATTTCTCAGCCATGAAGAATGCAATGATTTGCAAATCATATAAACCCAAGTTGAAACAAATCTCATTGTTTTATGACAAATATATGCTCAATATGAATTTCATGCCAAAAATTTGGGACAGTGGCAACAAAAGACTGGAAAAGTTGCGTAATGTTATAACAAAACATATATCTTACAACATATTACATTAAATGGTAACAGGGCAGTAAGATGACTGGATATAAAATGATTCTCCCAGAGAGGCAGAGTCTCTGTGCAGTGAAGATGGGGAGAGGTTCACCACTCTGACTGTGCAGGCAAATACTGCAACAATTTAAGAATAATGTTCCGCAATGTAATATTGCAAACAATCTGGGAATTTAATCATCTACAGTACATAATATCATTAAAAGATTCCAGGAATCTGGAGAAATCTCTGTAAAAAAAAAAAAACAAAATTGGATAGCTCTGATCTTCAGACAGCACTGCATTAAAAACAGACACCAGACAAAGAGGAAACCATCTAAACATGATCCAGAAATGCTGCCGACTTCTCTGGGCCTGAGTTCGTTTAAGATGGACTGAGTTCGTTTAAGATGTCCTGTGGTCTGATGGATCAAAATTTCAGATTCTTTTTGGAAAGCATGGACGCCATGTCCTCTGGGCTAAAGAGGGACCATCCAGCTTGTTATCAGCAGACAGTTCAAAAGCCAGCATCCGTGATGGTGTGGGGGTGCATTAGTGCCCATGGCTTGGGTAGCTTGCACATCTGGGAAGGCACCATTAATGCAGAATGATATATACAGGTTCTGGAGCAACACATGCTGCCATCCAGACAATGCCTTTTTCAGAGAAGCCCTTGTATAATTCAGCAAGACAATGTGAAGCCACATTCTGCCCGTATTACAAGAGCATGGCTCCGATGTAGAAGAGTCCGAGTCCAGACCCGTCACCCACTCAACACATTTGGTGCATCATGCAACGAAAATTGCGACAAAGGAGACCCTGAGCTGTTGAGCAGTTGAAATCCTATATCAGGCAAAAAGGGGACAACATTTCACTTCCGAAACTCCAGCAACTGGTCTCCTCAGTTCCCAGTCACTTACAGAGTGTTGTTAATAGAGGAGGTGATGCAACATAGTGGTAAACAAGCCCCTGTCCCAACTTTTTTGAAATATGTTGCTGGCCTCAAATTCAAATTAAGCACATATTTCTCTTAAAACAATAACATTTCTCATTTGATATGTTGTCTTCTATTTTCAATTAAATATGGGTTTCAATGACTTGTAAATAGTTTTTATTTACATTTTACACAGCGTTCCGGGGTTGTATATACCAGTTGATGGATAATGTCATATACTGTAGAAGCCTAACTTATAGCTTTGCTGGCTAAGGCTTCAGTAAATGAAGTCAGCTTGCCTATTTTGATGAAAAGGACCCTTTTCTTCTTCTACAGGTTGATGGGAGTATATTTGTAAGTTACACGACTGGCTTTCCGAAATGGCAGGAATTCCTACACATCAGTATCATCGTGATCAGGGCTCATTGACCATGGATGAGGGTGGTGTTCGGGTCAGTGGGTTAGGCCTCTGCGACAATCACAGTTGAAATCCAGTGCACAGCAGTGTAGCCACATCCACTGGGCCCTGGACCCCCTGAAAAATACTCCAGAAGCCTGGGATGGTTGGCTGATCCAACACTCACACCCAAGTCTCACCTCTGTGTGTGTGTGTGTGTGTGTGTGTGTGTGTGTGTCTCTTAAAAAGTATAGTATGGGATATGTGGGAAAAAACACACATTCCTGTTTCTTGAAACAGTAAAGGAAATGACTAAACTTCCATCACACGTGGATTCTTCTTTTTATTTCATTCTCTTGCATTATGCAAAACCAGAACATCTCAACTTTAACATGCAGCAACTTGTACTGAGCTTGAAAAGCAAGTCACGAGCTTTAGGCCACACCTCCAAACAGTAGCCTGGATTACAAATGTCACTGGAAGCAATCAAAGGGTTCGGCACTCAGAAATCAACCTCAGGTCCTTCTGTTCGGAGTTACAGCCTGGAAGTGGTGAGAGACGGACTGAGCGTCTCCTTTGCACACAAGGGTTTGTAGGCAAATGTGTGATTTGACTCGATAATTAAGAGAAAAGGACCTAATGTGTCACTTCACAAAATGTCACTGTGTCAACACAGTCAGGCTGATGTGTTCAAGGCAACACAGTGAGGTGAAAAGTACAGATGTACAGAAGGTACTCTCCTGTTCTACAGTCAATGGTTAATTATGAATAAAAACCTGCGTTTGTACAAGTACTCTACTGTGCAAATAGCAATCAGACACTGGGTGGTTGAAAGCAACCATAAGATGTGTATGTACAGTTGGATTACTAAGGATCAGCACTAATATCATCGCTTAAATAACACATTTAAATCAAAAGAAGCTGAATTGCACAGGAAGTTGAATCGAACATTTTTCTTTTCATTTTCCTCCAACAAAATACAATACAAAAAAGTTCAAAAACAAATATTCAGATAAGTATGACTGAAGTGCAATATTAATAAAATACAAGCAAAAAAAAAAAAAAGAAATAGCAGTTCAATGCAGTGGAAATATTGGCCAATACAGATTTTTTCTCGTATTAGCGATACCGATAACAGATTTTTCTTGATAGTTTAAAATATATTCCTTGTTTATTATCAAAGAACCAGAGATGAAAAATATATGCATTTTGAAGCCCCCTGCCCTTTACAGTCTCATTCACAGTGTAGGCATTGTGGGTAAATTACGCTGCATCAGTCTCATAAAATACAGCTAAATTTAGGAATTTTCATTTTTCATTAAAATTACAAAAAGTTGGGATGTATCAAATTGTTAAATCATCACATTCTAACTTTGACTAGGCTTAATTAAAGTGGGAGTACAGGTGATTTACCGTGTTCTGGAGGAATCTGACATGACAAGAACCACCGGTATCAGGTTCAGGAACTCGTATCAGGTTCAGGAACTCGTATCAGGTTCAGGAACTCGTATCTTAATGAGCACAAACAACCATTGATTTCAATAAAAGGAAATGTATCAAGCCATGAAATGGTAAACATTAACTAACCATGGATGACTAAACAGATTAAACTCCGAAACAGCATACAATAGATTGCAGTTGGGGTTCAGCCGTATGGATGTGAGCATGTTTGTCAGTGAAAGGGATGGGAGGGTGAGGACACAGCTATGTGGAGGAGGAGGTGCATGTGGCCATCTTGGGGGGGGGGGGGGCTCACCACGCATACCTGCTTAGGATGGAGGGAGCAGCGGAGGAGATCTGCCAGGATTAGCAGAGCATGATTGTGTGAGCAGAGACTGTAGGTATTAGACTGGCCTGCCTGCAGTCCAGACCTGTCACAAACTGAGAATATCTGATTACAAGAAGTGCAAAATACAATAACTAAAATACAAATTGTTTTAAAATTCCATTTTCTGACAGATCACAAGTCAACACATAACGAATATATGCTTCTAGCTAGCATTCTTATTAATCAAAATGTCTTAAAAACTTTTTTTTTTATTGTGGTACTTCGATCGCCATTCCCTTACACAAATTTAGTACATTCTGTACTATTTTAATCGATTTATAATATTTACTTAATCAATGATACACTGCCATAGAATATAATGGTATAATACACTGTTGTAAAATTCACGGATAAGTTTTTCAGATACACTTGAACACCTGTATCATCACAGTTAAATAAAGAGGTTCCTCCACTGTAAAAAAATATAGGCCTACTTATTTATTATTATTAAAATAGACTCGCATTGAAATAATAAATAAATATAAGAAACATTCTGATTTTCTGGTTAGCACGTTTAATTTGCCAAGTTTCCTCTAAAATATTGACAATAAATGGTTAACCCCAAGGCTCACTGCGGACGTATATCATAACAGGCTGCAAAGTGGAGAACTATGGTTGGAGATGCGGAAGCAGCCCGAGGGGGGAAGGGCAGGCAGGAAAGCGGGCGCCAGACATCGTTTCAGTTCTCATCAGTACTGCCATGAATTTTATTGGCTTGTGTGTATCCAGACAAATTATAAAATTGGTGAACCTCAGCATAGTCTTCTGCCTGCTGCCCTTTGCTTTTCTTGCACGTCGGAAAGGCATAAAAATTAACACCATTTCCTGTTTTTTTTTTTTTTGCTTAATTGATCATGCAATCTGCGGTATCAGCCTTTCTTACCTCAGTACTGAATTTTGCAATTGTTAAATTCACCTGCAATGAAGGCCTTATGATTAGCAATAACTGGATGAGCAGGCACTCAAGATCAGTCAGATCCACCACTGTTCTTTTTTGACATTTTATATAGCACATACCTAGTGTTGGAATTCTGCTACGTCATATTTTGTTGTATTTAAGAGGGAAAAAATGGCACACTGCTATATGATAACCATAACACGGCTGATAACCATTATTAATCTCATACATACATACATACATACACATATATATATTTATTTATATTTATATATATATATATTCTGCAATCAAAAAGCTAAAAATGCCAAAAGTATTTTGTTTGATTACTTATGCTTAAGGTGAGGGATGGGTAGGGGTTAAGGTCATTATTTTTGTATTTTTGTTTTTTTCCATAGAAATTAACGGATGGTCACCACAAAGATATGAGTACAGGCCTGTGTGTGTGTGTGTGTGTGTGTGTGTGTGTGTGTAATAGAGCCTTTTGTCACAATATGCTGGATCAGAATACAAACATACTGAACATAAGTGAACATAAGTTTGACTGCACCTTAAGCGGACCGTCTATGTTTTTCACGTTTCAAGATGGAGTAAAGAGGAACAGACTGACGGCTGGCACAAACAAAAAGGGAGCAGAGCTCGGCATCTCAAAACGGTTTCCTGGAGCTTGGGACAGAGCAGGAAAAGGAGCAGTTAGACAATCAGAAAAAAGGCCGCAAATGTAAGTACAGTTGATGTGTTACTACTGAGATTGAGCCCTTTTTGAGTTTCAAAGGTTTGCATTTTGCAATTTGAACTGCCGTTGTTAGTTAAAATGTATAACTATATTTTGCATTTAAATGGTGTATGAGTAATATATTTTTTAAGACAGCATGACCCATTAATTTCAGATACTTAGTATGCCCCCAAACCCAACCCCAGATTAATGTTCTTTCGCTGTTAAAAAGGTAATTGGTCTGGGTCTACATGACATTTGGTTTAGGTTCTCCTTCAAAATGAGAACTAGGAAACGGGAAGAGTTTTCTTCAATTTAGCTAAAATTTCGCACAACACGGTTTCATATCATAATATTACAGGAAACGCAATGTGCAAACTGTTTCTTAGAAAATCACATGGCAGTGTTTTAATTTAATATTTCGGAAATCATCTTGGAAGAGGACGACCACTCCTGGGTCTCATTTATGGGTGTAAGATTACTCAAGCATGATATTCGAATTGCGGACAGAACCCACTCGGGCTAACTCCTGCGGGTCTTTCAGGGAGCCCATGGCCAAACCTAATTTGAATCAGTTATATTTCCCAATAAAACACAAAGGGTCTCACATGAAAATATGGTCTAGGTCCAACGTGGGTCTTCCAGTCATACTGTTGTACTAGCACAACTAGCACAATCAGCAGACATTTTAACTGTGCATCTATTCTTCTATTTGAGAAAAAAAAACAAAAAAAGTGTGCCCAAGGCGTGTTTCATGACAGATGTGTGACTGTGGAAAAGCTCCTTCAGAGTAGTGTGGGGGGGGGGTGGTCTGAAAGTGCACGAAAGTCACAAACAGAGCAGACATTTCAGAAGCTACGTAAACCACTTAAAACTAGGTCTCACCCACAATTTCCCCACGCGGCACATCGAGTACTTTCGAGTAAAACCATAAAATATATATATAGTACGGTATAATAAACAAACGTGTGTGATCTATTCACACCATCCATAAATATGCATATAGTGCTTGACACACACTAAATTCATCAGCAGATTATGAACGGCACTGAAGCCTAGCCCTTCAAGACAATCAGAGGTCATTATGCTACCTGAATGTAAGTTATTACACATATACCCAAAGAATACCACTTATGCACAAATCAGCAGTAATTAACTGATTTTTCCCCACACATCATTAGATAATATTAATCTTTAATAGTTCTATTACTTTGACAATTACTTTGCAACAAATATACATCATCAAAAATGTACTTAAACCAGTAAACCATTTTCTTAACACAATATATATCAAAGGGTAATCTAATTCTATACCAGCAGACTGAATACCATTTTTGTTTTTAACCATAACTAAATCCAAATTTGTATTCTATGAATAATAACCCATTGCTCCTGGCTTTGACTCACGAAAATTCTCAGGCAAGACAAAGCAGAATCAATATCCACCTGGATGTCCTTTTTCTCAAACTGCCCATCAACCAAGGAGCCAAGTTTGAAGTATTTTGAACACTGCAACACTTTGTCTGTCCGTACTGGATCATGGCCTACCTCCACATCCGCAGAAACCAAAATGTCCTTCTTTGAGTCCGGGGCCCCTGTCCTGATCAGGATGCGTTTCGGAGCTACAGGATTGTGGAAGACGAGGGTGAAGTGGTTTCCTGCAGAGGGATTCTTTCCCCAGAAGAAGCTGGTCCCTAAATCATACGCCTTCTCGGCTGTGAACTCCTTAAAATGAATAATGTCCGTAAAGATATCAGCCGCAGGATTATCAGAGACCGTCTTGGGATCCTGCTCAAAGTCCTCATCCTTCAAGCGGTTCAGCGTGCCCTTAAAGGACGAGTACAAGCCCACATGCTGGAAGAGAGATGGTTTGAAGCGAATGGGCTTGACCTGAACCAGAAGTTTGCTGAAGTGGCCCAGCAGCCAATCACACGGCATCTCCTGGTAGAACAGATACAGGAAGGATGCCAACTGTGGCAGACTGCTGGAGTGATACAACTTGCCAATGTAGCCCAGCTTGGAGAACTCCATGGTGACCCATGGGGAATCGCCATGGGACTGAATGAACTTCTTGATGGAGGTGAGGAAGTTCCTCGCGCAGACCACGTCATCCTCCAGCATGATGTAGTAACGTGATAGATTGGCACTGACACTGAGGAGGAAGGCGTAATCCACGTTTTGCTTAGAGCGAAAGTAGACGCGGTCTGGTGGGTCGTTGAAGTTTCTCTTCAGTCCCTCCAAAGGTGGGTAGTGCTTCTGCTCCAAGTGGGTGACCAGGAGCTGCCCTTTCAGGACAGGCCCATAAAACCTCTTGTAGATCGCTTTGAGCATTCGCTTGTTCCAGTCCGTGTCGAAGTCTGCCAGAAGAACCACGACCACCATCTCCTCTAGCTCCTCTTGAGAAGACTCTGTGAAGATGGAATGGAGGGTGTCCAACAGGTAAAAACCTTGCTTCCTCTTGACGGAGGACAGGCCCACAGTAAGATATTCTGAGGAAAAGAAAAAACCGGAAGACAGGCAGGTTAGTTCCACTGAAACCCATTTCTTTTAATAGCAAATGGTAGCTTTTTTGAAGAATCCAAAATTTAGAGACAATTCTTGAACATTGCTTTGGTACTGCATTTGTTATGTACGTTGTCATTTACAGAAAAATGACAAAAAAAAAAAAATGTACATCCTACTTTGTTTACTAGCATTTCCGATGTTGGTTCTGCGTGCTGTGTAGTACGTTTGACATTACTTTTTACTTGGGTAGCTAGTTAGCTAACCTGTATGTGCTGATGGACACTGAAGGAAGCTCTGCCAAGCAGCACTTGAGTACCTGAGCTGGCTCATTGACATCAAATTCGTCACATTTTCCACCGCATTTGCATGTAGATGGCCAAAAGCATCAGGAAAATGTTGATGGAAATAATAAAATGAAAAAAACCTCAGACACTGCATTGTATTGCATTTCATTATTTCCGTGCGTTATGTGACAGAGGTAACCCATACTTGTTTGCACTGTGTGTACCAACCTTGCACCTTGCCAGCTTTGCATTAGAAGTATGTTCCTCTGTGTTTTATTTACTGTACTGCTGTATGCACAAGCTTCCCACAAATACGACCATGAAAACTTACACACTATTAATGGCATGCAAGAAAAAGAATCTCGGAATGTGTTCATTTTATCGTTACTATACAGGGAGAACAAGCCATTGTAAATTGTTAAGAAGGCCAACTACTGAACTGTACAGAAAAAAACAAATCAGGAACAATAGACCTAGGCTAACTAGTAGTGGAACAATGAAGAAATTTGCTGGTGATTAAACCTGCCCGTGTAGAATAGCAGAATGACTCAACATGGTTATATATTCTGTGAAATGAAAGTGCGAGCTGTGGGCCAGATTTAGTTATGTATTATGACATTGCCCCCTGCCCTCCATCCAGGACTTGTACTGCTCAAGGACTAGGAAACGAGCAGTTAAAATCATTTCAGATCCGTCACACCCTGGACACAATCTCTTCCAGCTCCTCCCCTCTGGCAGGAGCTACAGAACTCTGTACACAAACACCAGCAGACATAGGAGCAGCTTCTTCCCTCAGGCCATCACCCTCATAAACAGCTAAGATGTCATCTGCCTTATGTCAGTTTCCCCCCCTGTTCGCACTCTACCTCGCACCTTAAAATTGCACAGTGTTACTCACGTGTGTATATTTATAATCTTTCACATTTGTATTTCTTGTACAGTGTAATTTATTGTTTGTATAGTGTTGCTTACTGTCTGTGTACGAGAGAGTATCAAGCTGCCAGAAACTAATTCCTTGTGTGCCCCAGCACACTTGGCGAATAAAAGCTGATTCTGATTCTGATTGTCCCTCGTGGAAAATGGCTGATTATCCAATCTGATCATCTATATTATTTTTGTAGTTGTGTCTTTAACTCTGGTGCAGTTACCTTTGAAGTCTGATAGTGTTTTAGTATCGATTGGCAATGTCAGTCAAGACTGACATCAAACCAGTGCAGAGATCTTGATTTTTAATGAATATCAGCGGATTGATGCTAACCAATACATTGTACATCAGTAAGTTTGACATTACTTTTTACTCGGGTAGCTAGTTAGCTACCTCAGAGTATGGACCATTGCTACTGTAATTAGCAAAAACAATGACTTTTTCACAAAAAAATAAGAGCGTTTCCAAAAACCATTAGAGTGAGCGCTCTGTGCTACAAGACATGGATGAATTTCCCACAAGTATCAAAGCACAAAGATCATTAACTGTTGCTTGCTTTATAAAGATTAATGAACTTTCCCATATTACGTTTCAGAAATCTGCGTGCTGATGCTGCTATTTTGCACGTCTCCCTGCAGCATGTGAGCACAACCCAGAAGGAGGAGCATCTTTAAGGCAGATTTTGCTCTCCAAATATCAATTCTAACGATCCAGATCGATGCAGCTGAATCGCTGCCTTAATAACTGCTTCCTCATGATGCATCGGTGTATCTTTACATCCATAAGATCTGCAAATGACAGCAGCCTAAATGTAAAGATCACAAAACTAAATCTGGAAAAATTTATCATGAATAAATACTTTTGATCACATCAATAAACAAATATATGTACAGACGTCCACGGATTATACTGGGGATATAAACATATCGGAAGTCGAAAATGCATTTCAATACAGTACACTTAACCTAACAAACATCATAGCCTAGCCTACCTTAAATATGTCCTATGTATGCATCTTTGAGTTTTTGAAAAGTGCTATATAAATAAAATGTATTTAAATGTGTTTTCTAATGCCCAAAAATGCCATTGTGTACTCACTCTGGGACACTGCAGGAAAGCCGGCCAGGAACTTGTAGGACATGTTGAACGGCACCGTGTCATTCTGGAGATGGTGAAAAATCTGCAGGTTCCGTTCAGAGTGGAACTGCTGTGAGACAAGCTCCCGGGCCCATATCTGCACCTCTCCGTAGTCCTGCAGCGGGCCAGACACAGGCGTTACACGGAGAGGTCTGAACACCAGATCTGAACATCCCCCATGATGTTATTTCACAAAAATGAAAATCAGCATTGAAGTTCTAGTCTGACGATCGCATGAGACCATGCAGCCCAGAATCATTTAGCACGGAAGTAATTGAAACTAATTGTGGCCACAACTCTCACAACCATTAGGTAAATGACTGAAATTACCAAAACACAGTTAAATGGTGAATAATTTCAGCTGGCTCAGTACTCAGCGGGTTGCGCGTGGGTAAGAACCAACAAAACATTCTGCTACATAAATATAACTTAATACAAAAAAAAACTGAATTAGCATTCCTCCATTTCAGTATGTATTCAAAATATTTGTCAAATGAGAACAAAGAGAAAAGGGGAACTTCACTGACAGATGTCTCAGTGTTGGGTGAGTAGACTGATACGTAGAGCAGGGCGACGAGGGAGATGAGAACGGCTGTGTTCCTCAGAGCTTTTCTTGGGTAGCACCGCATTGCCAGGCAAAGACCGCACCTTCAGATACAGGAGCAATAATCATAAGAATTATAATCCAGCCAGTAACTATTAGACCTTTTAAACTCTCCACGGAGACTGAAATACAGTACCAGTCAAATGCCTGGACACACCTGCTTTTAATGCATTTGTCTATTTTGCCATGCCATTCACCTTATAGTATGAGGCCTAGAGGCGACGAATTGATACATATCAAATATTGCAACGACCAATAGAAATGTTTAACCCTTTTACAGTACCTCAGTGACATCACTGCACACTCTAGGCATTGTAGGTCAGCGCGTGCCCGTGATTGGTCTGTTCGAGGCTAGCCTAGGCAAAATAGTCACATCTGTGTGCACTCCAGCAAAGAGCAAGGCCCTTATCCCCCAGCTCCATGGGTGCTGCTATGGCTGGCTGCCCTTCACCCGTATGACGGAGAGCAAGGTGGCGTAGGTGAAAAAAAGTCTCCCACGGGAATCAATAGTGTCATTTTTATTCTTTGAACCAGCTTCCAGATATAGCCACCTGGAATGATTCTCCAACAATCCTCAAGGAGTTCCTACAGATTCTGGGCACAAGTTGACTACCTTGCTCTTACTCTTTGAACTAACATATCCCAAATCAACTCTACAGTGCTTCAGTCTGGGAATTGGGGAGGGGGGGGGCACTCAGCCTAGAGTCTGACTGGCCTCCTATTCACCAAACTTCACCAACTGTGAAACCCAGCTCCAGAACATACTCAAGGACACAGCCCCTTCAGCATGACATCCCAAACAAATAATTGGTACACTAATGTCAGGGTACACAACACAAATCACGTGCACGTGACTGTCTGGATATACAACACAAATCACACGCACATCACTGTCAGGATACCGGTGACAAAAATGATTTCCTTGCCACCCACCTACAGAGCCCAAAAACTCCAAACCTAACAGCTTTAACTTGCCTACTTACATAAAGCTCTTAAAACCCAACTAGCTTCAGTACACGTTGTTACCACCACACCCACCTACCTACCAGTATCTCCAGACCATAAGTCAAACGCCAAGAGAAACCTGACCCTTTCCTTCCTACACCTTGCCTTAATATAACGGTGGACACCTGTACTCAATTTCCCCATCAGAGTGCCCTCGTTATCCAATTTACCAAGCTCCACTCAGGCTTTACACATCACCTTCCTGGTCCACAAGATGGTGCTTGCTACGCTTAGGGTCTTTATCTCATGGAAAAACAAACAATTTTCAGTAGGTGTGCCCAGACTTCAGTCCCATGATATTAACAGAACAGAATATCTTTGTCATTGTAGATGGGCAATGTAGCTGTTTTACATACATACATAATCTTTACATATAAAAACCATGAACCAGTGTATTACATGATACTGAACAGAGTGCAATCAGCTTAACTAATCCAAATGACCTAAAAGTTCAACAGAAATTCCCCATTTAAGATAAAAAAAAAAGTGAAAGTCTAGTTACAAATGAAGTTCCTTCTTTTGTGCAGCTCCGCAGTACCTGGAAGGTCTCACCACCGTCTCCGTAGTCCTGTTCGTTCCAGCTGAGCTCGTCCGTTTTAATTGGATGTGAGAGACCTGGAAGACATGAGAAGATGAGATGTCCAGCGCCCAGTTTTTGCACATTCATAGCCATACGAAGAACTTCATTCCACGAAGGAGATTTATGTTAACTGATGGCGTGATTTCACCTTAAAAATGCTTTTGAAGGTCATGTACTCCTGCTTTTACCCAAGTACACATTGGGGTTTGGTTTTGTGTTTATTGTCCAAAGTAAATATAACAGGAACTGAATCTACAGATCTACAACCAGCACCACAAATGTAACTAAATCAGACATGATGGTTGTCAAGATGGTTGTCAGCTCCGAGACCTTTATTTAAAGTACTGTGACTACCAACATTTGACAACTATGGCATCTAGGCACATAATTTACCTCTCTGTGAAGTAAAGTCACTGACTAGCAAACTACTGTATAATTCATTAATCCCTGCCCTACATCACTCAGCAACATCAGTCCCGATCCATTCAGTAATTATGGTTATGCATAATTCAGTAGACTTTCAGCCTGCATCCTAAGAGCAATGTGATGCTTTGAATAAAACCTGGAAAAAGTGGAACATTGTAACTGAGAAGGGTGACTTAAACATGACTTTAAACAAAGCTTAAGCCTGCAGAATCTGCAGAAATTTCCAACTGAAATGGGTACATTATAATTTCCAGAGCCACTTAAGTTCCTTTCTGCTTTTAAAAAAACATCTGCCTGTCTCAGTCCAGCCAACACTAACGGAAAGTGATTCAGAGGAAAATTAACTTAATGGCACATTGTATTCTTAATTAGGACATCAATATCCTAGAGGCAGAAATCCAATAATAGTTTCGGCAAACATCAATGCATGCATTCTCCAAGCCTTTATGGGCGTGTGACTCTGTGCTATGTAACTGAAAGGCATTGGTTCAAATCCCAAGGCTGAAAGACCAATGCCACCTGCTAAGCCCCTGAGCAGGGCCCTAACCCCCCAGCCCCATGGGCGCTGCACACTGGCTGACCCTGTGCACTCACCCCCCCCCCCCCACCCCCCCCAAGCTTTTTGCACTATAACCGAAACAGTGACGTAGACGGGTTTCTGCCACTATACTGCGGTTAATATATTGTTATGTTAGTTCCACATATATTCTACTTCCTATTTATTTTCAATTTAGACTCTATATTTTTACGTTTAACTTTCTTCGAGTATTAACAGACTTTGCTAGGCCGATGGCGAGTCAATGCAACGTAATTTCATTCTGATGTGCACGAACCGGTGTATGTTCTGATTGACAATAAAGTGGCCATTCATTCAAGCTTGTCCTCTAGCAGAACTTCCCCGTGGGGATGACTACTGCCCTACAAAGAGTGTACACAGTAACCAAACTGTCCAGGCAAACCAGGGAAACTGGATGAAAACACCAATGAAAATGACCAACTCTGGAGATAAAAACCAAAGAAGTATTAAACAAAAGAAAATGAGAAGGTGAGAGTTCTGTTGTATCGGTGACTTTAAGTCCTGTCTGGGGTCCTCCACAGAGATAAGACTTTCTTAGCTTCAAAAGCCAAGGACACATGCCAGTGTTTTTTTAAGAATACCGTCTTCGCTTAGACCTAACAAACCTGGTGTAGCCACATGCAAAACCAACAATCAGTCCATGTCGAAAGTCAAAGTGTGGAGAGCATCAGCATCAGAGAGGAAGTGAAAGTAGGCTCCCTCATGTAAAGTGTTACAAAGATACAAAGATCAGAGATGCAGGACATTTTTGCCAATGGACACAGTCTGGAGGCCCGAGATCACTTCCATAATGACGACACCCGACACGAACGGCAGTGCACCAGTCAATAATCAACTTCCGGATGCCTAATTAGCTGAGGAACTATTCTGCTTCTTTGCCCGGTTTGATATAGTGACAACACTGAAGCTCTGATGAAAGTTTTTGGACAAGCGCACACCAGCGCTCACATTAAAGCACACAACGTAACGTAAGCTCCATAAAGCCAGCGCAAGGTAATCAGCAAGGCATGACGGCATACCAGCACACATCCTCAAACACTCTGCCGACCAGTTAGTCACAGGCCGTACAGACATCTTCAACCTGCCTCTCTCCCGGCCTCTTGTCCCCACATCCCTCAAGGCGAGCATCACTATGCGTACAAAGTTCGAATGGGCCGATCCACAATTTTTCAGTTCCGATCCGATTCTGATACACAACTGCTGATACTGATTCTGATACAAGAGCTCTTTTTACTTTAATATTTTAATCTCATAAATATACATAATTTACATATTATACTTCATATATTATTAATGCCTTTAAACTAGTAAACACAGAAGAAAAAATGCATGACAAAAAATCGTTAATTAGGCAACTAAAAACATCTTGTACATCTTGTTTTAAGAATTTCCGAGGCATTTGCATACGCAAGTGTGGAATGCTTAAGATGACCCACAACGTTTCACCCACTGGCAACAGCAGAACAATCGCTGTTCTACTGCTTCCTGTTAAAAGTTTAAAATACTTCCAGATCGTCACCCTCTTATTTGATGTTCTCCTAACTGCAAAGGTTATGCACGCGAGTCACAACAGGCGGAAGCAGTAGAACTTGTGTGCTGCTAATAATGTAACTAAACTTAGGAAGGAGCGGTCATACACAGTAATTACATTGAAACTAATTTCCAAATGCTGTGGCCTGGGCCTCTGTCAACATGTCTTTAAATGGACATTAGACTTCTTAACTAATTGTCCCCAAGCAGTCTGGTTAGAAACATCTTTGTGCCACATTCCGCGCGCTTCAGGAATGCGTGCGATGCCCCACCCTCACCTTCCCTTTCGGCCATTTTTTTTAACAAAATGACCTGATCTCTGATAACAAGGCTGCCTACAGGGAGGAAGAACAGAATCTGGGTGCAGCTAAAGCAAAAGAACTAATCATCACTTCATGAAAGCCAGTAAAAACATGCACTCCTGTATATAAATGGAGACCAGGAGGCGAGTGTCTCCAGTTTCAAATTCCTAGAGTCGTACATTTTAGATGAGCTTGCGTGGACAGTAAATACTACCTCACTGATTAAGAAGGCATTAGCCAGGGCTATCCTGAGATCCATCAGGAAGGCCGGTGTGCTGAGACAGCTCAGATCGCCGTGTGCTTTAGTTGTTGCTCTGCTGCTGATAAAAGAATAATCACTAATGTGAGTCATCAATACGGCGCAGACGATCACTGGATCTGTGCTCCCCTCCCTGGGTAACATGTTTCACCCTCCATAGAGCAACCAGCATCATCAGAGACCACACACACCCCTATAACCATCTCTTCACTCTTTCCATCAGGCAGATGAAACAGAGCCATCTAGGCCCGCACCTCAAGGATGACGAACGGTTTCTACCCCAGAGCTACAGCCCTGCTGAATGAGCAGTAATCAGTCCTGCTTGCTGTACTGTCACATATCATATCGCCCTATTTATTCGTGCCACTCTCTTTTCCACTACCTGCTGCATTCTCTCACCTGTTGATATTGTCGACTTATTGCACAGTTTCCTTATGGTCACGCCTCCTTGCACTTTACTCCTCATCCAGACAGTTTTTTTTCCTTTACTTCTTTCTTTCTGCATTGAGTTGCATACCAAATTTTGTTGTACACACCATAATGACAATGAAGGTATTCCATTCTGTTTAATTGTTCACACAAATTTATGATCGGTTACAGAATAACACCTTTTCCCTCTACAGAATATACTGAAGTTCATATTACAGGAATGAATTAAAAATGCTGCAATATGCTTCATTATTTTTTTTTCTGCATATATTAGTCATTTCCAGAAAAAAATTATATATTAATAATTTTTTTATAGTACAGCCGCTCCTCTACTTACGAACTTTCAACTTACGAACTTTCAGACATACGAACGAAGAGGACTGCAAGTCCAAATTGTGTTCATTGGTCTCCTGTTTCCTGTCTGCAGCATCATTTTTTTTGCTACAGGTCTTTTTACAAAAATACATTTTTCTTCCTCAACTTCTTACAATTCTTCTTCCTCTAGAAACTTGTCTTACTTGATCTATGTACAACTTTGCTGTACACACCCACACACACACACACACACAGTATCTTTAGCTTTATGGGGACCTTCCATTCATTTCATTGGGCATAATTCTAATCTGAACTATGACAACCTGAACCCCCACCCAGCCCTAACCTTAACCTTAAATAACCCAACAAAATACAATACATTTGGCATTTTTAGTTTTTGGAATGTTGTCACGGATTATTGTAAAATTTGGAAAAAAAAAAAAAAAGTCCCCACAAGGTCAAAATCACGGGTTTTTATGACCCACTCACACAGATACTATTTGGGTAGTAGGTGTAAATTTGCAAAAAAATAACATTTAGAATACATGGAAATTAATAGTAATACAATACAAACTAACCTGAATTTCTTTTGTTCTCCAACAATTTACTGATATGAAGTTGGATGGCTTGATGAACACGGCTTCAGTTCCCAAACCTTCTCCTCAGGGGAACCTCAGCCAGTCCATGTGTTTGTTAAATTTCACCACCAGCTCACTTATCGACTATTGACCATTATATATTACATACGTTTAGGTTTTCAATATATTTGAATATTGTAACTGTAGAAATGTCGCAAATTGTAGCAAAAAGTAATGGAGTTAGAAGGTATTTTGAATGCAAAATGTACTTGGAGTTTGAATGCACACATTCTGAAAGACATGGTTAATGGACACATTTTATGTCACAGCAATGAAATATGATCCACTGTTTGGCAATGAAACATGATCCATACAAAAAAAAAATCATTGCGAAATGCTTGTTAGCAACTGTAAAACTGTAAGCCAACAAACATTTTTATGTGTCATACTGCAGGAATTGCATTATGTGGACAAAAGTATTGGGACACACCTGTCAGTATCACATTCAAAGGTTTCATCGAGTCCTTGTTTAAAATCAAGCGCCTAGCCATACAGTTAGGTTTACAAACATTCATGAAAGGATGGTTCATCCTGAAGAGCTGATCACCCTAGAGCTGGCCGTCTTTGGTGGAGGTGTAGTGTGAAAGGTCGAAACACAACAAGAGCCAGAGGAGCATTACTGATGATGCATGCCAAAATTTCAACCTACACCAAACTTATCCAAGTCTAACATTCGCCATTCGCCGACAAGCTTAACAGTGAACCTATTGCACATGCTTGACCAAAGGATAGTGACATCTCATCACTGCATAAAGGATAGTAACACCTCATCACTGCACAAAGGATAGTGACATCTCATCCTGTGTTTCAGAATCAGTGAATTCAAGCATGGTGCTGTCACAGGAAGCCAGTTCATAAAATTTCTTCCCTGCCAGATATAATTGGTATTATTACAAAATGGAAGCTGTTAGTAGCAACAGAAATTCAGCCATTAAGTGGCAGGACCATGTAAAGTAAGAGAGCGGCGTCGCCGAATACTGAGGCGCATAGTGTGTTCAAGTCGGCAGCGCTCTGCTGACACCAAACTTCCTCTGGCATTAACTCCAGCACAAAATCTGTGCACCAGCAGCGGAAGGAAGAATCACAACGTGTCTGTCTATCTGTCTGGCAGCCTGATGGACGAGTCTGGGTTTGGCACTGGGGATGCCAGGAGAACATTATCTGACTGACTGCATGCTGCCAACTGTAAAGTTTGGTGGAGGAGAGATAATGGCATGGGCTTATTTTTCAGGGGTTGGGCTCGGCCCCTTAGTGCCAGTGAACATTTAATGCTTCAACATAGGGCCTATTAAAAATATTTAAATATGTGTAGGTAATATCATGATATATGATATTCAGCTCTGGAAAAGAATTAAAAGACCACTCCATATTTTTTTTTTTTTTTTTAAATCTGCATTTTTATATCCTAGTTTAGTTCTGGTTCTACTGGCAGAAGGGTACACTGCGAGGCAGACTGCTTCCAGACTCACTGCTTCTAAGACAGCAGTACAGAAGAACACGGTGAAACAGAACACTCTGGAAATGATCAAAGGCCAGCCAGGTAGAGGGTGGAAGCAACTTTCTAATGGCTGAGATGACCGTCAAATTTTCAGACAGTTTCTTATGAATCAAAGGGTGACATTAAGTGCAGGTGTGAAGTGCACTGCTAGGAGAGTTCATATCGGTCTCCTAGAAGCAGGACTGAAGACCTATAAAGCAAGGAAGAAGCCCTTCATTAATGAGAGATAGAGAAGAACCAGGCTGTAGTTTGAAAAAGAAAAAAATAAAAATAAAAAAAATATATATATATTATACACACACACACACACACATATATGCATGTATGTATTTGCAAACTGCAGCCTGCTTCTTCTCTATGGGTGTGCATCTGAATTATATATGTCACTGATTCTTGGGAATTCGGATAAAACAGGTTTTAATTCTGAAAATAAAAAGTTACTTAAATGACAAAATCTGAAGGTATATCATTATAGACCAAGGTCTTGGCTGTTCAGCAACGTACCGGTGCAGCCTCCTCATTTTGTATTTTTTTCATAAAATTGGAGTTTTTTTCCAGTTATTACTTTGTTTTTGTCAACATAAAGTGAAAGTTGAGTGTAATGATTGGGGGGGGGGGATTTTTAATGAACTGAGAGAGAGAGGGAAGGCACACCCCCTCCCCTAGGGTTGGACGACATGGAAGAAATATAAGGGGAATTACATCAATAAAAAATACAAAAGAGGTTAATGAAGCATCGCTGGTCATATTGGTATTTATTGTGATCAACAATTATGTTCTAGCCTCCGTTGAGGACCATTTGGAGGTCCTCAGACTATAAACCTGACGGTGGTGACGTCTGACGGTGGTGACCAAAACCTGCTCTTTCACATGATATGCATGAGTTGGTCACATTAGCCATTTTGTTTCCCCTCTGTTGCTAGCTACTTCAGACCTCATATGTTCCAGTATGACTGTGCTCCAGTGCACAAAGCAAGGTCCATAAAGACATGGTTGGGTGAGTTTGTTAAGGAAGAATTTGACTGGCCCACACAGAGCCCTGACCTCAACCCCATCAAACACCTTTGGGACGAACTAGAAGAGATTGAGAGCCAGGTCTTCACGTCCAACATCAGTGCCTGACCTGACAAATGTGATTCTTGATAAATGGGCAAAAATTCCCACAAACATTCTCCAAAATGTTGTGGAAAGCCTTCCCAGAAGAGTGGAAGCTGTTATAGCTGCAAAGGGGGGACAAACTCCATATTGATGCCTACGGATTTAGAATGGGATGGCATAGAAGTTCCTGTAGGTGTCCCAATACTTATATCCATACAGTGTACTTTCCCTAAGTGATTAATTATGTGCATGGCCACCTAACCATCTTTCACCCACTGAGCCAGTACAGGATCACTGGGCAGTTGGGATATCCGAGTCAGGCCAAAGCCTGGGGTACATTATACAGAGTCCATAGTCCATAGTAAGGCAGTCACACAGTCACAAGATACGGGAAACACAGAAAAAAAACTATTTCACCTAACTTCATGTATTTGTACTATGGGACAAAATTAAAATTCAAAGAAACGGGGACACAGAACAGGGGAGGGACTGAAACCCCCAGTCTGACACACCAGGAATTCATTCATAATAAAGTAAAACAGTAGGCATCGATTTACAACAACCATTAAAGTTACTCAAATCTGGCACCATTGTTATGGTAGTAAGAAAAAATCCTAAAGTAGTATTATATATATATATATATATATATACTGTAGATATAGATATATATAGAAACTGTAGGAAAATGGTAATTACATTAAATCCATATTGTAAAACAGTCGTCTTGGGGAAAAAGAGAGTAATTACGCCAAAGGAGAAGATGAGAAACACGAGTTACTTACCACTTTTTATTAAATAAGATGAACTTTTATGATCGAAGAGGTAAATTCTTGTGGATACAGCGGTAAGGATTACAGATCAAGACGAACATACATTTAGTGCAAACAGACATGGTACACACACTACATTCCTCTAAATCCACAGCTGGAAACCTGTATCGCTCCGTTGTCAGACACGTGTTCTGCGCAGACATCCAAAGTGCGATTTAACGACCTTATTCTGACTCACGTTTCTGCGGAAACACGTCGCTTCCCAGCTCTTACGGTGTCATTAACAGCCCGGGTGAATAGAAGCGAAAGAGTAAAAGCTGAAACTGTGTGACAAGCGGAACTGCACATCGCCCGCGGAGCCTCGGCTGCAGCTGCAGCACCCGCACCCCCAGCTCCCGGCAGATAACTGCCGACCAAGGTGTGATTTTATTAATGCCGGGCAGGGGGCGGAGCGACGGGCGACCGGCAACCTATCAGAGGCGGCCGAAGACCTTCGCGGTTGCGGGTGACGTTTCCTGTTTATCATTATAGGCTACATGACATGGGAAAAGTAGCAAATGTGCAAATGTGCTAAGATGTGTAAAGTAAGTCAGCCGTATCTTGAATGTAAATTCTGAACGTTAAAGCGATTTAGCGTTTTTGGAACAGTTTGATATTATAAAGAAAAGTACGTATACGTAGTAATATTCTTACAAAAATAAATTATAATATTCAGGGCTGCCAGCTCTCACGCACTGAAACAAATTTCTAGTCAACAATGTTGTGTACTGTAGGTGTGGCATTATGAATCAAATGGTTGAGTGAACAATAATTCAAGGTATTCTATGAATTCGTTAGATATCATTCAGGATCTCTCGGTGTGCAGTTGTAGAGCGAGGTTGGCAGCGCTATTGCATCATTACAGCACTTATATCGTTTTATGTTAAAGCCGGGATCATAATATATCAGTAAAGCATGAAAATGTCATTGGACAAAACAGAAGTGGCATGGGAACAGGAAAAATCTGACAACGTTGCCTAAAATGTATCTATTCAAATGATAAATTTGCAAGAATATATCTTAACGTTAGTTAAATGTATTTACGTTGCGATCAAGGTCCAGCTACTGTAGGCCATATATGTATTGGCACTGTTAATGAACATGCTTGTGTAGGAAGACTATAATATCTTTCACATACATCTATATCTTTGTGTTCCCCCCCCCCCCCGCAGGTCACCATTTCTGCATCTCAAGCAAATGCAATAGCTTTTGCATCACTAATGGACCAAAGGCTAATTCTATTTCAGATAAGCCTCCATTTTTTAACAATTGGATTAGTGAAATGCTCTCATGCTGCTGCTGGAAAAAATGACATACATTAGGGCCAACTGACAGGAAAACACCAGAGCAACTTGGTCACCATTCATCATATTTAGTTCATTTTCATTGATTCAGTTTTTCTAACACTATTTGAAAGAGGCCATTAGTTTATTGGATATTGGTCTTACGTTACGTTGCATGGCGCAAATTTAGATGTAGAGAAAGTTCAAGACTACAAGTTCTTAATGGGGGCATATTGACAGTAAGCTGGACTGGTCTAAGAACTCACTGATTGCATGTAATAAGAATCAGAGTAGGCTATTTTTCCTACGCAGACTCTAATCATTTAGGGTCTGCAAGACCATGCAACGGATGTTCTTCGACATTGTGGTGGCCAGTGCCATCTTCTACGCTGTGATATGCTGGGGGAGCAGTGTGAAGGAGGCAAACACAAAGAGGCCTAACAAAACGATGCAGAAGGCTGGCTCTGTGGTCAGCGGGAAACTGGACACCTGGGAACCTGCCGCAGATCGGAGAACGTTGGCCAGACTTCAGCCTGTTGATGGAAATGTAGATCAGCCACTTCACAGGGATGTGGTTGGACAAGAAGCATCTTGAGGTGCCAGCTGACTAGCATGAAGTGCTCCACTGAACGCCACTGAAATCTTTCCTCCCCACAGCCATCAGACTCTATTACACCCAAAGTCACTCACCCATACAATAAGCTACTTCTCTCCTTCCCTTACTCTGTCTTTAGTCCATCTTTTATATTCTACTATGATGTGCAACATCTGGACTTCTGCTGCTGACTTGTACGGCTCATACCAAAGCCCCTCCTTTGAATGTGGAATATTTCATCACTATGTGCAATATTATCAATATTAACGTGCAATATACCTCTGGCTCTGTGAGCGACTACTGTGAGAATATAATGCACCTTGTCAGACACTTCTGCTATACAGCATTTAGCTCATTTAAACTCACAGTGAACTAGTCAAATAGCAAACTAGTTACGCAGTTTTACATAGTAGTTCCCTGAAAACAGAGTATGTAGTTTCACTCCTAAAGAGTTTATATGGTAGTTAATTTGACCTTTAGTCAATCTATATATTTTATGTTATATATTTGATTTTCGTTTGAGATATATACCTTCATTCATTTTGTTATACAGTGTTCATTGTGTCTGATGGTGTCTCCGTCCATGTGTGCAGTTGTAGCAGAAACAATTTCCCTCGGGGATCAATAATGTTTTTCTAATTCTGATTCTGACTTTCCATTCAGTTAGTAATAAGGATAACTATGTGTCTAATCGCGAGTGCCAGTTTACCTTCTGTTGCGTGTGTAAAAGTGCAAGTGAAATGTTACATTTGATTACCTTTTATGGTTACGGTTTAATCACAGTTTGCATCACAATGATAAACTCTGCGTTCCTTAAGTCACTGTCTAGTCTGAGATGAAAAGATTAAAATATTACTATGTATACAGTGTTTCTTTTGGTTTGATTCAGACATGAATTTTCATGCTGCTGCTCATTTTAAGTGTATGAATGTATGAATACATGTTGTATTAAAGAAAAACAAAGAAACTAAGGACTCTTTTTCCATAATGAACAATGCATGGTTTATCTGATAATGTGACAGTGTTAAAGGTAGCCCTATAACTTTAAGTGACATGTTGACTGACTAAACTTGCTCAGCGTGAATGTCCATGTTAAGAACAGGATATAATGGTGCACCATTCAAGAGCCAAAGTACACTGGGGATTTATTAAGTCAATTTTACAAGCAGCTGAACAATGCCCGGCTGCATAAATGGAATAAAATACAAAGCTTTGTGTCAACCTTTCGTGTTAGGCAACCTGCAACGGCCATGTCCAGAGTTAGAGCAGGGGTCCACATTTTACATGAACTGCATACTGCAATGCAGTCATGGGAAACAGAAAGTAGACCCTCCTTCAGTTCTTTGTCTTTATCAGTGCTTACATAACAATTGTGTGGTCCTTATCCAATGAATCCTCAATTATTACTGAATATTCCATGAGTACTGCATTCACTTCCTGAGAAATTCAGTTAGCAGCACTGGAAAGTACTCTGATTTATTATTATTTTTTTATTTAAGTACAGTTGTGTATGGGGCTGTGGGAATACTCTAACACTGTCTCCATGTCTTTGTGACCTTGATTAAGGTGTCTGCCTGTAACACACAGGAATGTAACACACTTGTGTGAATGTAGTAATGTGTGTTTATATACTTGGCACAAGTCACAAGTCAATTAGACCCTAGACACCCCCACACTGAGGGGGAAACTGGTCCTCACCTACAGACATGAGCTGCATGACTGAGAATTTACGAGTACAAGTTTCCATTACTTGACACGGGTGAGGAGTTCGCACATCCAGAGGAACCTTGAGTTAGAGTCGCTGCTCATTCAGATGGAGAGCACTCAGCTCAGGTGAGTCCTCTGCTCTATTATGGATACCAGCCAGTCAGGTCTCAAGGAAGCTCTTCAAGTTACTTCATGCTGGGCAGAGGCCCAAGGGTAGACCCAGGACATGCCAGAGGGACTACATCTCCCAACCGGCTTGAGAACTTCTTGGGAAATCCCAGAAGAAAGGAAAATAATGGTTTGGTCTGACCTGTTCAGTCTGCTGCCAAGTGACCCTCACCACAAAAAAGAGCTCTGAAGATGGATAAACAGATGGATGAATACAAATAAAATTGCTTATTATACCTGGTATTATCAACTTCCTGTTTATGACCAAAGTAGGCTACTAATTGGTCTTCCTGGAACAAGGACATGATGGAAGTATGTTTCATCATTACAAGTGCATGAGTCTGCTAACTTGAATAAATCTGAATGACACTGCAATTAGAGCAAAAATATTTTAATTATACACAAACACGTCATATATTACAATAACTCCTGGTAGTTGTATGTGACTCATTTGAACAAATGAGACAAACGAAATTAAATTCCACAGATTCCACGGAGAAAGCATCCTTACCTGCAGGTGCTGAGATTGACATAACCATACAGCCCACGTACATGCCTTGTAGCCAAAGGTGGAAAGTTCAGCTCCAGAAAGTAAAAATACAGACTAAGATTTTATTTCAACCACCCAGTTGAGCATAAAGAGTGACAGTCACAGTGAACTCAACTGGTTGGTTGAAACAAAATCTTGGTTTGGATTTTTACTTTCTGGACCTGAACTGTCTACCTCTGCTTGTGGCTCAATATCCAACTTCAGAAGGAATAAACAGTTAAATTATGTGGCATCACTGACCAGTGTCTGCAGCACAGTCTCCAGCACGGACAGGAACCCTCTCTGAACCTTTTCATCTCTGGGTTCCTGTTTAACGGTCACAAGTAGCCTATCCTCGTCAGAACCGGGACCACACAGAAGCTCGGCCAGGATGATGGTTTCTGAACCATGGGCGTACAGGTAGGCCTTCCAGGGAACACTACCGGGTCGACTGAAGGCCAAGGCCTGGATCTGCACCAGCTGCAGGGCAGCCTGCAGGGTTTCTGGCTGAGAGCTGGGCTCAGAGCAGGGCAGCGACACAGTCTGGAAGGTCTCCAGCTCCAACCAGAGCTTCTCAAAGGCCTCTGGGGTCAAGGCAGGCCCCAGGGTGAGGTTGAAACTCGTCGCTTCCTCTGGCAAACCTGAGCAGAGATCTTCACTTGCTTCTTGCACTATGGAAACAGCGAAGAAAGGCAGAGAAGCACTGTGAAGCCAAGCTGGGACCGAAACCCGGCCCATCACATCAGCCGGTCGCTGAAACCATAAGACACCTGGGATGCTGCCCTGATCCTTTTACCGGGCTCCCGGACCTAGAACCCACCTGCTAGGGTACAGTTTGCAGCGCTGTGGGTCGTACCATCAGAGCCGCCGAGGGTGGGCAGGGCAGCGCCGTCGCAGCCAATCCCAGCCACAACGGACCCCGAGCTGGACACCGGCTCCAGGGTGTTGAAATGGGCAGCCCAGTTATTGATGGGCTCCTCGGGCCGGCCGGCGATCAGGCCCAGGGACGGGTCTGACTTGGGGCCCCCCAGAACCTGCCGCGTCTCCTCAACCCCACAGCGCAGCAGCCGGTGGTAGAATAGGGCGCGGTCGCGCACACACATGTCAGTCTCTTCCTCTGCCAAGTGAAAAGAGACAAGTCAATCTGGAAGCCTATTTCCATGCGAAGAGGCCACGCCCAGACCTACGGAGCTCAGATGATATGTTTGGTTAAGCAAAAATGAAAATTGTCACTTTCAGAAACTATTGCCTTTCATTTTTATATAGAGTTGCCGTTTAGAAATGCTACGTTGTCCAGATAGGAATGTGACGGCCTGCCTTGCTTCTTCGCGGCCTGCTTTGCGGTGGCTCGGCATACCGATGCAGAAGTGCAGCAGGCGTCCCAACATGTCCTGGGTCTCGGCGGGCCGAGAGAGGAACAGCCTCGTCATTGCCGTCAGGAGCTCCAGCTTCACCAGGGTGGACAGTTCTGTCTTGAGGCTATCAATGTAGTCTTCCAGGATGTAGGGGGCGCCAGAGATCTGGTCCCCATGCATGCCTAACAGCCAAATCAGAGCCTGTTTCCCCTGGACAGGAAAAAGTTGGGAAATTGGTCAAAAATATTAACCTCAAGACCCATCTGTTCCAGGAAGACGTCCAGTAGCCTGTGCCACTCCGGCTTCCCTTGTCGGCTTCTTGTGCTTTTTAAACGCTCTTAGTGTTGTACTTTATCTTTTGACTATATAGTCCTATTTGGTTCTTCCTATATCTCAAAAGCATTATATAGTTCTTGATGTTACTACTTATACTTGTACCTGAGCATTACGCTTAGTCGATTCCTGACAGCTGTATGTTTGTAATGTGCTTTCTGCCTCGTTTGTATGTCACTAAAATCGTCTGCTAAATAACGTAAAAGTTTGTTGTTTCTGGGGCCCCAAATGTCGACTCCTCCAGACATTCAAAAACTAATTTAATAGCTAGCAAGTAGAGTCAAAACATCTTTCTAGCCAGCTGGTTAGCAGACCATGCTGCTTCGACATCTTGCATATAAGGAACGAGTTTATATAATATTTAGTGTAGCGACGTGACCAACATGGGATTTGAGTCTGACTCACGTCACTGTCCTGGATGATCTCCTCACAGCCAGCAATGGCCTGACACACGCATGCCGTGGACTGGGGACACAACCAGACCAGGTCCCGGAAGGTCTGCACCACAGCTGGAAGATAAGAGGACATCTTTAAGAAGAGAGTAATCACTGTGAAGACTGACCGCGTGTCGCCACTGCAATCCCCAGTGGCTCCGCCCACCTGAGGTGATGTGCTCCTGCCTCAGGCCCAGCAATCCCGTCAGAATGGCCAGGCCGCGCTCGCTGTACGTCCGCCCGATGCGACCTGATGGGACCGACGGCAGAGACGGCAAATCAGAATTTACATTAGATTCACTTTTCGTCATTTAGCAGACGCTTTTATCCAAAGCCATGTACATTTTTGAGAAAGTGAGGTCGAATCCCTCGAGCAACTAGGGGTTAGGGGCTTGGCTCAAGGGCCCAATGGTGACATCACTCAGCTGAACCTGGGATTTGAACCGGTGACCTTTAGATCACAGACACTATGTCCTAATTTACCACATGGGGCGTGTGTTGGGCATATAGTGGTACACTGATTTGCACACTTCTCGTATTTATTCTTATATATAATATTAATATTAACTATTTTGTTTCAACCAAACTCCTGAGTACTCTGTGACTGTGACTCTTTATGTTCAACTGGCTGGTTGAAACAAAATCTTGGTCTGGACTTTTACTCTCTGGACCTGAATTATCCAACTCTACAGATCCATACCATGGGCTCAGATGCACCCCCATACTGTCACAGATGCTGGTTTTTGCACCTCTTGCCGATTAGTCTGGGTGGTCTTTTTCATCTTTGGCACATAGAATCCAACATCTGTTTCCCCCAAAAACAAGACGAAACGTGGACTCATGTGACCACAGAACACGTTCCCATTGTCTGTTGGTCCATCTCAAATGAGCTCAGGCCCAAAGAACTCGCCGGCGTTTCTGCACAAAATTGATGTGTGGCTTCCTCTTTGCATAATACATTTTCAGGGAGCATTTCCTCCAGATGCAACGGGCTAATGTGTTAAGTGTGTTAAGCAAGAATGATTTCCTGAAGTACTCCAGAGCCCATGATGGTCTCTAATGCAACAGCGCCTAAGGGCTTGAAGATCACACACATTCAGCGGCGGTTTCTGCCCTTGGTCTTCACGCACAGAGATTTCTCCACACTCCCTGAATCTTTTCACAATGTTATTAACTGTAGATGGTGACAGACCTAAATTCTTTGCTACCTTGCGCTGAGAAACATCGTTTTTAAATTGACAGATAATTCTCTTACGAAGTTCAGCATGACCCATCTTTGCCTGCAAAGACTGAGACTGGAAGCTCCTTTTATACCCAACACCTTTTATCAGTTAACCTGCTACTTGAGGAACCTTCCAGAATGTTACTTGCATGACCTTTTCAGTCTTACTTTGCCTCCGTCCCAACTTGTGCTGCAGGCATCAATTTCTAAATTTGTTTATGTTTAACAAACAGAATTAAGTCTTTCTGTGAAAGTGCTGAAAATCTTTTCTTCTCTTTTCCTTTTGCCTGTTAAATAAAGGTTCAGGCGATTTTAGTACATTTTTAGAAAGTGTCCCAACTTTTCTGGAAATGGGGTTTGTATATTCTGGCCTAACCCCCCCATGCTCACCAGCGCACCCCTGGGACTCAGGTCTTACCGACGGCAAAGATGGCGGCCTGCGCCAACTCTGGAGAGACGTCAGTACAGTACGCCTGAAGCTCCTCCAGAACCAGCACCACGTTGTCGTCGTTCACCAGCTCCACCAGGATCTCCATCTTGCGGAACTTGATGTAGCCTGGCTCCGAGTAGCTGCAGAAGAACTTCTTGTAGTCGGGAGAGAACTGCGCGGGGAGGCTGCGCAGGACGCGCTGCACGTGGCACAGGCCCGTGAAGCGAAGCTCGCGTGAGCTGGCGGTGCAGGTGGCCAGCAGGGGGCCCCGTGCCCGCACCAGCGCGTCCGCCTGGACGGTGGGGTGCCCCGAGGCCAGCTGCAGGAAAAGCCGCAGTGTGGCGGCCGTGACGGCGCTGTCGCCGCCCTGCAGGTGGCCGTCCAGCAGGTTGAGGATGTCGAAGAGCTCGGTGTCGTCACGGGGCCGGTAGCGCAGCAGGAAGCCCAACGTCTCGCTCTGCCCCCACGCGTCCAGGTCCTTCAGCCTGTCGTGGGGGGGGGGCAGAAAGGGCAGTGCGTGTCAGGTATGATATCATCAACATGTCGGCCCGTGTTGCTTTTCTTGGCTCCCCCCTTTTTGCATTCTCACTTCAGTTGTGTTTTTATCCAGTTGAGTTAGCAGGGACAGTGCCTGCTTGACATTGACACCACACTGCCGACCTCGGGATTTGAACCAGTGACCTCCCAATCAGAGACGGTACCGAAACCCACACACTACCACTTTTTAAGTTCCTTTTCCTAAAACCACAGTCTGTGTGAATCACGACGGGAACTTTTGAGGCAGGGCCACAGTTCATCAGGCACTGTCTAAAGTTTAACATGGCAAAGGGATAATTTCCCAAAAAGCACTGCACTGTAGACACAGCGGAGTTGGGGAATATCGGGTTCATTATTCTTGAACCAAGAGTGCTTCTGTCTTACATTTGTTTGGACTCAATCCATTTTTGAGCCCTTGAGCAAAAAAATATCTATCCATATGGGCTGGTAAAATGGTTAAATCCCCAATAAAAAGGGTGATGGTCACTCGGGATACCAGATTTCGAGGTGAGCTATGGACTAACCCCCAGTTCTGCAACAGTTACTGTGTTCCGTCATAAAATTCTGCATTTCTTGATACCACCATATGCCCTAAAAGACATTACCTGTTCAGCAGATGATGTGCGATGGGTTTGTTAATGACCACGCCCCCCTCTGCTTTCAGGATCTCCTCCAGGGCCCGCAGGCAGTTCACCATCACCACTGGGTCCGGATCCCTCAGCAACCCATACAGCTCGTTGACGACAGTGCCATCTAGAGGAGGCAGGAAACACAAATAGGTCCGGTATCAGTATAGGGAAAAAACAGTAGTTCTCAATCCTGTTCCTGGTGCCGCCCCCCACCAGAAAGAATCCAACCTGCCACGTTCATTATTAGCCTATTAAGCACCACCTGAGTCTGATTAAGGTTGGGTTGGAATTAAAACATTCTGGTAGGGGAGGCACCAGGAAAATGATTGAGAAACCTACGGTGAATGTAATACAACTTTAAATACACTTATTGTTGTTGTAGTGGGTATTATTATTGTTTGCATTATACAGTGATAATAACTGATAAACCTAAAACAATGAAATGAGCAGAATGACTACATCCACGTTGACTCCACACCCTACAAGTAAATGAACCAGAGAGCTTGGAGGAGAAGTGGAGGGATGCACTTCTCTCTGCCAGCAACCGGAGATCCCCTGATACTTAGCAACCTAACATATCAGGCCTCAGGCTCCTAAGCAACAATGCCCGACTGTTTTCAAGCTCGGAACAGTGCTGATATTCAGCACAAGCTGCCAGTTTTGCAATTCAGACTGCGATTAAGGCAGCCGGGCTGTGTTGCCCTTACAAGTGGGCATATAGCTGCCTGCTATCCTCCAGCTGCTACCCAGAATCCAGCTGTATAAACAGGTGAGATTGCGATATAATTTATATCTGCACAAGGCACACAACAATTCTTAGGTTTTTGTATATCCTATCATCCTTAAGGGAGACAGTTATTAGGGTTAGAGCACATGGTCACGCAACATCCAAGGCTCCTGGAGAAGTTCAGTTTAAGAGCCGTGCTGTGAAATGATTACTCTGACATCAATGGGATTTGAACCCACAACCTTCCGGACACAGGCACAGATCCCTAACTTACTGAGCCACATGTTGCCCCCCCCCTTGCAAATTAGAGCATCAGATATCCATGCAATCGCTGTGGATATAAAAAAGAACAGCAGCAGTATGCAAAGAGTAGAGGCTAACAGAAAGTACATCAAAAAGGAAGTCTATCGAACAGGAAGTCACCTATTACCTATTTCAGCATCAGGCTGCAGGTTGCGCATCTTGGCACAGCCGAGCACAGCCACCCTCCGCACGTACGACGCCTTGTCCCGCAGCCCCGTCAGCACCGGCTGCTGAATGTACTCCGTGATCCCCGGCATCCTGATCCAAAACAGAACACAACAGCCTGTAATGGTGGGACATCCTGGAAAACATCCTGTCCTGAATGAAAATCCTACTTATTGTGATATGAAATGCACTCAGTACAACGCTAAGAGCAAAGGAACAGTAATGAAAGTCAATGAAGGAGGTCGAACTCTCACAAAATGGGTTTTCGCTACCATTTGTGGACGTAAGTGTCCCAGACTGCTTAGGCAGAGATAGAAATATTTGTAAATATCTCCATCGCACCTGAGAAAATCCTACAACAGGACTATTTTGTTTGGATTCTCAACTGATATTGTACTCTAACACAACATTTATGAAACACTCCATAAAGAAATATATCTCAAAATACGGAAGGAAGGTAACCGGTCATTAGCGACGGTCGTCATGTCTAGAGAACATAGGTGAGCAGATGTATTTTAATACAGATGTATGAGAGAAATATTCCAGATGGTAGTCGTCCGTTAGGGAGCATCTGATGCGTCCCCTGAACAAGGGCCCCTGGGTCCCAGGGCCCCTGGGCTGGCCAACACACCGAAGGTTGCACATGTTCCTCAGGGCCAGGCCGCGCACCATGGGGTTGGGGTCGGCACAGTCCTTGCGCAGTGTGTTGATGGCCAGCAGGGTCAGGTCAGGCTTCAGCTTGGCGTAGGTGCACATGTAGAGATAAACCAGCTTCTTCTGCACGATGTCCACCGAGGCTCCGGCCTTCACCATCTCCATGAAGAGGGGGGACATGTCCAGGCCCTGCGTCATGAACCTGTCACATGTGGGGGGGGGGGGAGCACTCTCTTTAAACCCAAAGGGTTCAGGATTCTTGGTTTGCCTTTTGTACATCAGGACTTAGGAGATCAAAACAGAATAACTGTATACATCTTATACATATATAATTATTTATAACAGAGAAGGGCTAATTATCAAGTGTAATAAACTGTAATTTTCTGAATAATATCTTCCGATTTTGCACTGTTTGCTTTGAATTTTCTTTCGCTATCAAATGCTTGTATCACTGACAGACTCGTGTTATTCAGCAGTACTGCAGGATTTGTTTCAGAAACTCTTCATACTTTTCCCTGTCTCACCTTAAAGTTGTTGTGTCGATATCTTTATTAGTAAATCCTCCTCGTGAAATTTTAGCAGAGCAATGTTTTCAAAATGCACTCGTCATTTTTGCTAACATTAATATAATTCTACACACCAGACATTTTTCTAACTGTTTAGTATGCAGGTGTGCAAAGAAATATGTGTCACCATCTTGGAGGGTATTAGCAGTAAATATTGGCTCATTTTTAACCATCGGCTGATGGGCAATTGTTGCTGTATCAGCTGATACCGAAAGTTAACTGATACCAGCAGTGCATCTCTAGTTTTTAGGAAAGGCTGCTAAGAACTGTGTATGACATTTCGCCCTGGGTGTGCCCTGCCTTGTAGCCTGCGCACCCTAAGATGGAATTCAGATTCACCGTGACCCTGTACTGGATGACCGGTACATTAAACGTGTGGATGATTGTATGGATGGATGTTAACGACTGTGCCTGGATGTAATGTGCCCCATGTATAACAAACAAGCATCTTTCTGATGTACTCACAACACATTAAGTGTTTCATAACCATTGCATTCTAGTTGTGTATTCGTTACCCACAGTAGACGGGTTCCTGTCCCATAATGGCTTGTGAGGACATTTGGCAGTCAAATACAATGCCAGAAGAGTTTTCAAATAACAGAACTGCGGAGTCCTCGCCACACATACGACTGTGTCCTATCACCTATAGCAGGACGACAGACAAACGGCACATTTTAGGCAGCCTTCTCACCGGATGACGCGCAGAATCACGTTCCGGTAGCGCAGTCGGTCAGACTGGACGTTAGGGTTGGAGAGAGCCCTCTTCAGCTCCTTCACCGTCTCCTCGGAGCCCAGATACGGCATTTCGCCCACTGATACTCGTCTATGAAGTAGAGCAGCGGCATTCCGTTACATGCACTATACCCAAACACAAAATGAATTTTAATAACGCTAAAAAACATCCCTGTGTTTCCTAACACATGCCCGACAATTTAACTGGTCCAACAAATCAGTTTTCACAGGTATAGTGTTAATGGGGTGTAAACAATAAAGCAACAACAACGACGGCAATGTGTCCCAGACAGGAGCATAAAATCATATATGACATCTGGAGTTTGTGTCCCATGCTTCTGGACAACCGAGAAAGGCTGTCATACGCTTAGCATGAAGCACGGCTAAAACACGATACTCACAAAGCCTCAGTCGTCGCTATAAACTTCGCCTTTTAACTATTTACAAAATGGACATTAGTTTATTAATAATAATAAAAATAACCAGCACCCCCATGTCATGTTTCCTTGGAGTGTTTTCCTATTTTCGATCTTTGGCCGGAAGCGGTCCTGCAAGAAAAATGCTCCCCCCCCAGCGGAAACAATAAAAGCAAATGCCTATTAATGCTTAAATGTATGATTAAATAAATATGTTATATTTATTCGAATATCATTTATAATATACACATATAGCTGCATAAAACATAATATGACGTATATCGATCATTTATTTAAAAAAATGTAGGACGCTGTTCATGGGGGATGCATAAGAAAGTGACACACAAGCGATTTCCGGCCAGAGGAACCGTCTTACTTTCGTTGGAAAAATGGTTTGGTGGGTACTTCTTTTGCCTCACACGTCCACTCTCACTATGTGTGTTTCCTCTTTAAGTCCAAAGATATGCAGTTTTGCCGAGTGGCGTGTGTAAGTTGACCGTTGTTTGTAATTAACCTGCCAATGCCCTGCGATGGTCCAGACGGTGAATATGCATCCTACGATGTTCTCTAACTTCTGACCGGCACAAGCGGTTGGTAGGTTTAAAAAGAATGCCTTATAAGAGACTACAGGCGGCTAAATTCTTGTATTGCCGATACAAACAGTCTGTAGGGTTTGCAAACTACCACAAAGCTTTCGATGCAGCTGATTTTAGTTTTATAATGGAATAACATTGATACTTTTTTTTAATTGATCCTCGTGGGGAAATTGTCTTTTTACGCCTCCCCCAACTTGTTCTTTGTAGAGTAACCTGGCTACGAAGGGCAGCCACCTGTTGGGGTGCCCAGGGAGCTGGCGGTTAAGGGCCTTGCTCAAGGACCCACAGACATGCTACGGCTGGGTTTAAACCAGTGACCTTCTAAGTACAGGCACACAGGCTTAGCCCACTGAGCCACACGCTGTCATAAGATGCCATAAGACTACTTGCACTTCAGATAGCGTGACACTCAAACCAGATCCGCAATAGTTGGCAACCCTGGTTGTGACTTTGACCCAGTATGTACCAGTCAGTGCCACTTCTCTTTGATGCTGTTTGACATTATGATCTGGGTCTAGGAATCTGCAGAGGGGTCCCTACATTTTCTGTGTACAGAGACGTATGCATGAAATCAAACTGATAACCCAAAGGGCAATCGGGCATTAATCTAAAACAACATGCTTATGAAATATGGATGACATCTTTTAGAGGGAATGAGGTTTGTGTTGCAGAGATGGTTTTGTTGGTAGACTGACAAAAGAAAGCATGGCCAAATTTAGTCAGTTCATTTAATATTGCATAAAATACAATTTTATCAGCTAAACATTGGATCTTCACAAAAAAATACTATATGAATTACACAAAAGGCTTAATACTTCGTTCTAAATCTGTAGGCAAGGATAATAGTTGTTTCATTGTTCTTGGGCAGGACACTTTAAAATATGGTCCATCAGTAATGTACTTAAGTTTTAGGGAGTGTGGAAAACTAACGTGAAGTAAATGCACATCGCTTAAATTCCCTTCCTTCCAGTCTGGACCCATCAGTACTTTAAGAAAAACACAGAGGTGAGGAAACCAGACATGTATTTTACATACCTGTAAAACATTTCAGAATTAAATTCAAGGCAATATTTGATTCAAGTTGTCACCAAGAACAGACCTACTTAAGTTACAAGGGCTCAAACAGTCCCATGCAATGTTACAAAATGTTACAATTATTTTCTAAATCTATTCATCACATATTGAGAAAACCCCTTATTGTATATAAATGAAGCTGAAGCATAGGAGTGACCAGGTTTTAGTTAAGCTTATTCTTTAATAAATGCAACACTGCAGAGCAAAACGTTTCTAGTCACCATTAACTCTGGATTTGATGTCGAGTAAAATTAGAAACTTTGGCTAAATGTTTTGGCCTATTTCAGTGATATCTTTGATAAGACATCGGATTTAAATAGCCAATGAATGTTAACTGACAAACTATCATGCAGTTACATCAAATGATGACGTGAGCATGCAGTTAAGTCAGGGAATACGTTTATTAAAAACTAATTGGAGGGAGGGGCAAAAAGGTTAAAACATGGATTATTTTGGAGGCTTCAATCCATATGTGCAAACTGCAATGAGATTCCAGCTCTGTGCACTGCAACACACACCTTCATTAAAAGCAGTGGTCAGATTACCTCCAAGAAATCCACAACTAAAATCAAAACTCCATTCTGCAGAGTCAGACGTTAAATTAGCAGCCGGATTTAGGAATTCTGACCAACCCTTAAAGAAAAGAGAAACCCCAATACCCTCGACATGAACTGGAAACATTCTCACGTATAAAATTTGCAGTAGTTGCTGGCAGCAGCACTGGACACACGTTCAGGCTTAAATTACATTAGCTTACATTTCCGCTCTCTGTCAGTGCACAATTACATCAGTTTGACACGGTTGAATTAAAACCGTTTGCTCCCAGAAGGTTACCGTCATTGTTACCAGGGCATGACAACTTGTAGTAGGCAGTTTGGACTTGACATCAACAACCCTTTGGCTTTGTAGATAAACAGTATAAGATACCAAGGCACAAAGGCAAAAAAGTCTTCGTTTACACCATGATGCACTACTGAGCATAGTGCCAACTGCTAAAGACTGCAACTTGACATCAAGGCAAACTTTTCTCTCTCCTGTTCATAAAGATTGGCACAGGAGAGGGGGGTAAAGGGCAGAAAACACAGCACTAGAAGTGTTCCTGTGAAGTGTTGTGCAGTGAAACTCAAGTTTAAATACCTTAGACCTTTTAACACACACACACACACACACGGCGGTAATGGTTCTGATATTGCAGCACAATCCAAGCAAATGCCAGTTGAAGGCTTTGAATATCAACCCCTAAATCCAGACACTCAATATTCACAATAGACAAAAGTATTTAACAATGGTAAAATGTCCAGAATTACGAATCGGAACAAATGCGTAACACTGTCTGAAACAGTACATGACACAAAGAAAACAGAAGAAGGGAATCAGTGGCCTGTTACTTTTTTTGGGGGGAGGGGAGGAAAGAGAGGAAGAGAAACACTTTAAAACTACAAATGAAAAGGAAATTTAAAAATGTAAAAGACCCCTGTGCAGGGCCACATTGGAAAAGAAAATTTGTGTATTCCTATTAAAATTATGGCCACTGTGGTAACTGCGAATTCCTCTGGTGCCGACTTGTATGCAGAGTTATTTTGCTAGGTGCATTTACATTAATGTGTCGATGCACCACCCACTAGGTTTATTTACGAGTGAAACTGCATCATGGTGAGCTTTGCATCATGACTTGAAAAAAGCCAGACATGTCACTATGCAAAAAAAAAAAAAAAAGATACAAAATAATAAAAACCCTGCACAAAAAGTTTAGCTAGGGACCTGATTAGGGGTCCTGCGAGGTAGCAGGCTGGTAGGGACAACTATCATACGTGTGCACAGGACGCTGGAAAGGACCCACCGTAAGTGGAGTGCAAATCTACATATAGTTAGTTGAGATGGAACATCATCTCATGTGGGCTACAAGATAAACACGTGTGCAACAAGTCAAAAGGCTACAGGCTCTGTGACATCCTCTGCCCCTCCCAATAAAGGAAAACCCACACATAACCTTCTCATTTGCATACATATGCAGGTAGTTTGAGGACCACTGATAAAGTGAAGGGGGGTTGGGCTGCTTAATATTTATCCCCGACCCCCGTAACATTTTGCCATATTGCAGGAATGTTATATTATTACAATGCATCTCACAGTGATAGACATTGATTCTGGAGAGCATAGGTTTTTTTTTTCCCCTTTAAGAAATGCTGCCATCTGCTGAACCCAAGTGGAAATACAACCTATTCAAATTCACACACAAATCCCCATGTTCGCGGAATCTTTGCCATCACACTGCTTCCTCAGCCATTTTGTCAGGGTCGCTGGCTTTGAGAGGCGTGTTCACGTCGTCTTCCCGTTTCTCCTTCTCGGCTCGGTTCCCGTCCTCGCCTGCCAGTTTTTCCAGCCTCTCCTCCTCCCGCTTCTCCCGGTCTAAGAGCCTGTAGTTGATGCCCATTCCCACAAACAGGAAAACGCTGGCCACCATCAGAATGATTCCACAGCCATAGTATGTGTACTTGTAGTCATGGTAGATGTCATTAAACCGGCCTGTGGAAATAGAACAAGGTGTCAAATGCCATTATAGGTGATTTATACAACCAAGCAGGTCGTGCTGTCATCTAGATCTTCTATAAGTCCAGCGTGAGCAACATTTCAGCTATGTCCATGGACCAATGTGCTTTGAGTGGTAGGTCTACACACCATTGCCCTCTTGAATAACCACATGTATTTGCACATACCTCAAACCTGCCGGTAACCTGCATCTAGGTGTCTCATCTTTACTTCTGTCAACACGTTTTACATCTTTCTTGTATATTTTATTTATATGCCATCTTATTTACTCAATAACCACCGCCTGCACCAAAAATTCCTTGTACCTTTGGCACTGGCGAATAAGATTCAGATTGACTCTAAACACAAAGCCATTTAGTAACATTGATCAAGCTATTGAGAACGCAGTCTAAAGGTTACACGCTTTATGGGCCGACGCAACGTCACTCACCCAGGACAGGAGGGCCCAGCAGCACGGGTCCGCACTCCACGATGGTCACCAGACCCACCGCACTGGAGAACCGCTGTGCCCCGACCAGGTCCATCAGCGTCTCGAACAGCACGGAGCTCAGCCACCCGAAGGCGAAGCCGAAGAAGATGGAATAGACCACGAAGCCTGTGTAGTCTTCAGAAAGCGGAGCCAGAATGTGGCACACGCCGTTGTACAGGATCGAGGCGGCAAAGAAGTACTGCACGCGGGGCCGGACCCATCGAGTATTGGCCACGATTCCCATCGAGGGTCGGGCCACCATGTCCACAAAGGCCAGAATAGAGAGCAGAAAGGCGGCCTTGTCTTTGGGGATGTCTTTGCTCTTGGCATAATTACTGAGGAAGACCAACGGGGCAAAGAGGCCAAAGAACATGATGACGTTCCCAAGGATGTAGAGCAGGAAACCCCGATGGGCAAAGAGGGAGAGGTCGATGACAGAGTTGATCCTCTGCATTAAGGTCTTCTGCTCCACGGACTTCCCATCCACCCTGGTGTCGCCCTTGTCCTGGGACGGCTCCGGAGCCGGCTTGGGTCCGATGGGTCTCATGAGGGACCCGGCCACACAACAGTTGAGCAGAAGCCCCCCCAGGATTAAGAAACTTCCTCTCCAGCCGAACTGGTCGAAGAACCAAGTGTTGAGGGGGGCGAGAGTGGACAGGAAGACGGGGCTGCCCGCCATCGCGATGCCGTTGGCGATGGGCCTCCGCTTGTAGAAGTACTTTCCGATCATGGTGAGCGCCGGATTGAGATTGAAAGCCAACCCTAAACCTGCAGATGTTGAAAGTTAAGTAAATGTCAGCAAGCCCTTCTGTCACCTGATGCACAAGTCATTCAAAAAAAATAAATTGAATAAATTGCTCGTGTGAACCAAGCTGTACAAACACATGCACAATAAAAGAAAACTCATAGGAATCTGATTTCTATAGTGCGAAGGATCTGCCATATTGCACCGATGGACATACCTCCAATCACCCCAACACAGAAGTAGAGCCCCTCCACGGTGCTGCAAAACGAGGCAGCCACCAGCCCGCTGCCGGCCAGACAGCCCCCGATAATCATGATTGGACGACTGCCGTACTTGTTCACCAGGATACTGCTTATTGGACCTGAGAGGAAAGGGGTGGGGCATTAAATACACAGCTTTTTAAAAGGCAATTAAGCTTTATTCGCAGTTTGAGAGAGATATATATATATATATATATATATATATATATATATATATATAAAAACTAAATTTAATGAACAATAGTGAAACTTGTCTGCGCTGCTGTCCCAGCATCGAAATGCAAAATGCATTCAGCGTCATGAGGTTGACAGGCCACAAGGTGGCACTCCAACCAAGCTTAACATGCCACGGTCTGAAGAGATGGGACTGCCTAGAAACTCCTGCAAACTGCATGTCCCTGCTAATGCTGTGCAGACATATAGTGGAGGCAGGATCATCCATTTCAGCCAAAAGACCACTGCAGATATGGTATAGCCTCAATCACTTTGAACAGGCAGACCACCTCAGTTCCAGGGCTTAAGACAGGTTACTTATGTTGACTTGACTAAATAGGGCTATATTCATGGTGAAAGTGTATGGGTATTAAAACGGATTGAACAACCAAAAAATGTAAAAGCTTTATAAAATTACAAAATGTTACAAACTTAAAATGATCCAAATAAGGTGTTTATGAACTCAACTAATTCAGACCGAAGAACCCAGACTACACGTGTGAAAACCCCCTAAGATCTTCACCTTAAGAGTGGTCTAGGCCCATGGCTTAATGTGTTAAATTTAATTGTATGTATCCAGGGGATTAAACTATCAACTAGCAAACCATAAACCAAGGTTGGCGAACCTCGTCTTTCGCATGAGAATGAGATCATGACGACGGGAAAAACGTTCTTTGAGGAATTGATGCACATCGCCTCCCGGGTCCGTTCCGTGTGGAGGTCGCACGCTCTCCCTGTGTTGGCGTGGGTCTTTGCCGGGGGCTCCGGTTTCCTCCCACAGCCCAAAAGCGCGCGGGACAGACTGATTGGCGTGTCTAAAATCGGCCCTGTAGTTGTGTGATTGTGCGCCCTGCGGTGTGTTGGACGACTGCCCAGGGTTGGTTCCCGCCTGCGCCCGTTGTTCCCAGTTAGGCTCCGGGCCCCCCGAGACCCCAGTGGGGATTAAGCGGTTACTATAATGGATGGATGGACGTCACCTTACATCCGACGTAAGGTCTGCAGCCCCAAACAGCTTCTCAGTGTCCATTATTAAATAATCATCCAAAGGTTTTCCTCTCCTTTTGCATCTCAGGCCATGAGCTCCAGCCTTTAAATGCCATTTTAAACAGCAAAAAGCCTCAAGGGAAGGAAGACAAACAACTGAACAAGTAGACTGCATACTAGTTTCACACAAACGTACGTAGAAGGCAGTTTTCTATAAACAGGTGGAAAATGAGCTTTGACAGGGTTAAGTGGCTGTAACTCAGCAGATTGACATTAATGAGAAAGACTTAAGGAAGCTGCCAGGGACTAAAGAGAATACAGCAGGATTACCGAGAAACTAGATAGTTTGTTTCATATGCTGTTACTGGTATGTCAGTCATTATTCATTTTGCCATCTCATTCAGACAGTAGCACCCAAACCCGTGAATTAAGACAATCATTAGTGTTAGTCTATATCCAGGTGCTTCACAACAGCCTAAGATTAACTCATAACGGTATTGGATGCTGCTTCGGAAAGTTTGCAGATACGAAATACCACTGGCAGAAGGGCACCACCTTTAACGTAATGACAGGGTCAGAAAAAAGATCAAGATTAAACTGAAGCTACCATTTGTTCTGAGATAAGAGAATCTGGTAGTCTTCCAATAGCATATGAGCTAATCAATCTCCAAAGCTGGAGTTTTGGTTAGTTATCTTCAGCCAATTTTTTGACTTGCCCTTTGAGCTTGAAGCATGTGTCCAAGACATGCTATGGCAAGAGTGCAACTGTGAGACTGATGCTGCTCCTGAACGAGGAAGTATTTGCACAAGGAGCGTTTCTCTCCGCGTGCCAATGTTTAAACTCGTGATAAGGCTCAACGTTTACCAGGAAGAGGAACGCGAAACGTTGGCACTCTGCTTTCACACGTGTGTGGGGAAAATACGGGAAGTGTGGATAACAACTGGACTCTCTGCAGACTGTGTAGCTTCCTATTAACCAGCCTCGAGTTCCGTGAAGCAAAGAAGGGGAACAGACTCCGACGTGGGAACCGCCCAGGGTGACACAACACCGAAATCCACATAAAGGCACGCGTGTATTAAAAACTCTGTACGTGCCGGCGGCCACGGTGCTCCGCCCTGCCACAGAACAGGGGTGGCAGGAGTCAGCCTACCAGTCCCCGACCGGACTCATTGGCCGGACCTGTATTACATCACCCAGTGCCACCACAGGATTGGTGCTCAGGGGGTAGGGTTTAAACCACAGTATTTTGCAGAGCACACTTGACACAGTCATTAAAGGAGGGGGGTAAGAAACCCGCCAAGCGAGGCCCCTCTTGGGAAAAGATGAAGTTTCAGGATAAAATGTTCCTAGACAGGATCTTTATTCACTGGCCGGCTACAAAGGTTCTTATTGACCGGGCTGTATTTCACTGCTAATGTGCGCCGCTATGCTCCGGACCCTCGGGATTCAGCAGCCCCCAGTCACACTGATACCCGGTTCCTCTGCTAACGTGGGGGACACAGTGACCTTGATAGAAGCCTCGATGGCATACTTGGTTACACAAGGAAGTACAATGGCGTGACACAAGAGGGAACCTTCACCCGTTGGCCATGTTTAGTTGTTTACTACAACTCAAACCACAAGGTTTGTTAGGGAAAGAAGGCATGGCTGGAAATAGCTTTTTTTTTTTTTAGCTGGGGGAAAAAAATAAACCCCTCCCCCTGAACACCCAGTGTTCCACCTCCCAGTGGAATACTGGCTACAGAGTTGGGAACCTCAGTTGTAGAGGTATGGAAATTTTATCTAGATATACATTGGTTTTATAATTACTAATGGAATAATCTACAGTTAACCAGGCATTCCACCTTTTAACTAGGATGTATGAAGCATATTCAAGTTTGAACTGAATGCAAGCAAATTCCCAAAAGACCCAAACAGAATCCCTGCACATTGAACAAAGTCTCAGTAAAGTTGACAGTGGACACAAAGCATGGCTATTGAATAAATTTAATCTGCTCACTGCACTGGACACACAGAAAAGGAGAGAGAGAGCACTTTATCTTCCTGCTTTACCCTCTTACTGGGTTTCAAACCTCAGACCGCTCTCTCACCGTGGGTCTGCGTCCCAGAAACATGTGATTTAGGCACAGATGTGGGGGCTGTGTGGAAACCAAGTGCAGAGGGCAGCGTGGGAGGTGGCTAAGAGGGTTAGGACACCGTGTCTGTGATTGGAAGGTTACCCGCTAGTTGCATCTGCTACAAAAATGAATCTGGGGTGAGACTTACTCCACCTGGACATCGACTTATGCCCAGGACAAGAGCAGAATGGATTACCCACTTCTCATTTTGAAGGACTTGCTTTCAAGTGGTCATACCTAAAGGTCTTGAGGAAAACTCGCCCTCAAACTGGGACAGGGTCCCTCTCTGAGGCACTTAAGGACTCAGGGATGCACAAAGCACACGCTGAATTTTTACCTTTTTTGATTCTTGGCACAATTATATCCACTCAACTGACTAAGCTCATATTTTACAGTATTTATCAGCTTTTAAAAGGTGGCTGCACTACACAGGTTACCACTGCTGCTCGCCGACAGCCACTAAATCCCCTTCCTAAAGCATTTTAAAAAAATAAATAAAATCAACAAATCCAACAGGAACGTGATGTGTAATGATACCCAAAAAGCACAGTTCAGTATGTACCTCTTTTGAAGTCATCGTCCAGTACGTTTTTAGTACAACTAACAAAAATTGTTTCTTTTTTCTCTTATTAAATCGAAGTTTTACCGAACAAAGTATGACTGTCTTTCTTAAAGTCTCTCAATACTGCTGCAACTTAAGTAAACTTTACTTTTATTAGTAAGTCAAAATATTCTGTCAATAAAAATATCCATTAAGATGCACATTTAGAAAATTAACTGTACCTGTTCTGTACTGTATTCACATCAGCAGCATTTCAGCTTCATATTAAAACTGTGCAACAAATATTGTCTCAAAAAAATACAGAAGTAGTATAACAAGAAATATCCATTATGGTGCAGCAGTGGAAGGTCCTCAAGTACTGGTTTATCTATGTTCACCATAACAATGTACGTATGCATAGTGGTGCGGCTTCACCTGCTTCTTTCCGAATGCAACTCAGGGAAACACACAAAAACACACAAAAAAAAGCCCCGCATTTGTTCGGTACGTGTGCCGTTACACCCTAGAACGACTATCCTGCTTACCCCCAGCGTACATGACAGCCAGCATGATGGAGGAGATCCAAGAGACCTGGCTGCTGGTGGCCCCGAAGATGACCTCAATCTCTTTGAAGAATACCGTGATGGACTTGGGGAAGGCGTAGGAGAAGCCGATGGAGATGAAGGCTCCCGCCACGACAGCCCAACCCCAGCCACCCTCGGGAGGAGTGTAACCCACAGGTCCACCAATGGCGGGTGGCATGGTTACTCTGGCTGAGTGTTCTTCAGTCGGACCTCACCACCTTGTAAGGGGGGAAAAAAAAAGAGAGTGAGAGCCGTGAAGGGAAGCTGTCCAGAGGCGCGGCAGCCATAAATATGTTAACAGTTGGTTTTCCAGGTGTCGAGAAGTTCCTGGGTACAGACATCCACAGTCCACTCTGCAATTACCGAACAGCTATACCAGAGACGATCCTCAAGTGCAGAAAGCCATTGACGCTTGATAAGACAGCACTGAAATCAGACCACGAGTTGCCTGAACATCCAATAGACTACATTATCGTGGCCTTACAAGCATTCTACATCCTTTAGCCTAACAGAATTTACATGTCATTACCCATTCCGAACCGCCAGGGTTTTCTGCAAGCAGCTGTTCTGTATACTATGAATGGACTGAAACAGCTTTCTCAAACTGACAGGTCTTTTGCAGCTGACTTTTTCTTGACAGGATAATACTCAGCTTCAGTCACACTACTCGAGAGGTAGAGGGGCAGCACACTAAGCAGCACTGATGGGAGTCTATGGTAGTCGTATCATTTCACAGAGCACTAGTGGTTTGGCTCAGGTAAGAACTGAAGGGACCGTACCTCATTGCAAGAACTCTGAAAACTCAAGGTCAAAAGTAAATGCCTACAAGTAGAGCTGGGCGATATGTCCTAAAAATAAAATCTCTGAATTTTTTCCACGATAAATCCGATTTCCGATTTTAATCGATTTCCCCCTCCCCTACTCAAAATCAAACTAAAGATGACAAATAAATGCTTCAAAACAAGTTTTAACTTAATTAATTTTTTTTTACATTAGAGTTAAAGTGCAATCTGACAAGCCAAAAAAGATGCTTGTGAGTGAGATGGCAGACCACGCCATTGTAAATACTTTTAGAAACTTGTAAAAACTTTTAGCATGTTAATGAATCCCGGCTGTTCCACAGTATGTATGGGCACCATGTCTTTTGCAATATACATCGCGACAGCGTGTGTTATCGCCTTCTATCGTGCCCCATTCTTATCATATGGCACACAGTTCGAAAACATGTCAGGGACGGTTGCTTGCTTAACTTTGGATGTTGTGTTGGTGCTGCGGGTATTTTCATTTCGCTGGGAGCTGTACTTCTCCCACTCCGCTGTGTGCCTCTGCTTTAGGTGCTGGAATAAACTTGTCGTGCTGCTTCCTTTGGTCGCAACAGTTTTTAAACAGACTTTGCAACAAGGACTTGTTTGGTCTGTGTCCGACGGCGCAAAACCGAACCATTGCCGTGCTGTTTGTGAATCCGCTAGAGTGTTTGGGTGCGCTGCTCTAATTTACCCGCGAAGAACGGTGCGTCTCATTAGTTCCGCTTTTGGCGCTCCCGTGTAAAATAAGCAAATTCGAATTAATCGATAAAATCGATTTATCGCCCACCTCTACCTACGAACCACATTATGATTCTCTGTCCATCATTCCCAGATTTCGTCCTCATGAACTCATTTGACCTGCTATTCCTATGTAAAACGCAAAGCAGTCAGCCTCTAGCTACTCACAAGATCCCAGTAAGGTCGACAGCCCTAGAGACCTACAAACCCACCAATGCACCGAAGACAAGCTCCTAAACAGCCTTGTAGCCACATAATTACACGGCTTAACTGCAGTCACTGTTTAACTTCAGGTGCAATTATGCTCAAATTCCAAGGAGTAGATGGCAAGCTTCCCACACCCAGAGACCATCTCCCACAGCAAGTCACAGAAGGGAGCTTCTGCCAAGCGAGACGAAGCTGAACATGTGACGTGTGTGTAGTTTCTCAGTTTATTTAAAACTGAAGTCAGCTGTAAACATGCCTGGCAAACCATAGCACAAGTCCCATTACTTTGGGTGCCTAGATTCAAGGTCCTTTACTTTTGTACATTAGTATATAAGACATGCCATCCAGTCAGTGACATGTGACAGGGTTAGACAGCACAAAACAGAAGTAGACCTAACTAGGAACAGGAGAGGCATGTATTTATGGAATAAATATGAACCAGAAGGAAGAGCTGAAACAAACAGTCAATCCTGCTGCAACGCGACTAATGTATTCCAGAAAAACCTTGTTTCGCTAAAATTGCACGCTAATATATACAATGGGAAAAATAAGAACAGGGGTATACGACAACTTATGGCAAACAAAATGATTTAAAAAACAGTGATACCAGTGACTAAATATGTATGATATTTTATTTAAAAAGCATCTCATTAATAATCTCCTAATAATACATCCTATGAATCATGAAAATTCCCTAGTAACTGCGTCAACCGAATGTGCCAAACTCACCGAACTTATCAAATGCTAACAGTTACAGGAAATCTCTACTCCCATTTTGTGACCCCACTAGATGGTGCTATTGGTTTACTTTGGGGCATGTTTCGAGCCCCTTTTTGAACAGACAGCACCATCTAGTGGGTTCAGAAAATACAGCAAATGGTTCAAGAAGGGTCATCATTTCGACCATAATGATGAATCGGGAGTAGTGAGCCGCATACACCATGTGATATTCCTTTACCCACCATGCAGGCAGGCAGGCACACAGCAGAAATACAAAGGATTACGGTGTGCAGAGGGGCACTGACAGCAACATGGGTATAGACACTCCACAAAAAGCAGATTTAAAAAACAGTGCCGTTTATGATAGATTCTGAAAATATCAGGCAAATTAAGACTGACCTGTGCGATGCATGGATGTACAAAAAGTCACGATTCTTTTACATTTGAAAACTAGGATTCAACAGATTCACTGAAAAGAACGATTCGTTCACCGAATCGGGCATCACAATCCTCCACTCGGGTAGTTTTTGCGTGCGAGTAGTGGTTCTGGCCAAGATCATATCGCGTTGTTTGCGTAGTGCTTCTCTCCCGACTGAAAAACACGCAAATAAAAATGCGATTCTGCATTGATCAGTACCCAAGTCCAATGCAATAACAGCGGAATAGATTTACAGTGTGATGCCACACGCTGTAGCAGGACTGACTGTATGGCTCAATAGAGGATTGGTCTAAATCTAATATGAAATAAATAATAGAAAGGGCTGAAATAAGAAATATGGAAAAGTATTGCTGTCCCATAAAGTGTGCATTTATGAGGTTGGAGTATTCTCTCCAATACCCAGTGCATGTCTGGGAATCGGGGGGGGGGGGGGGGGTTTACACGGTTCTGATTGAGCTACGTTAACAGATAAAAACACTCCCAAGCACTCAGTGGCTCAACCACAATCACAGATACACAGATAAAGGATGATCACTTTCATCATGCAGCTCTAGCTAACAAGGACGATCATCCCAGACCTTTGTCACCAAACAGAGGGTATGGGCAGCGACAACACTTGTACCAGACAAGAAGCCCCATCTAACGGGCTCAGCTTCACAGCACTGACCCAATAAGCGCTGGTGGGGAGAGAAAGAGTGTATACAAAAATCATCCCCTAGTGGGTCATTGTCCAGGCTTGTCAAGCCGAATCACATTACCAAAACACTGTAGTCCTTCCTAACACATCAATCCCATTTGTCCTTGTGGGAAAGACAAAAAGCCAGAAGTGGAAAGCAGAGATCTTCAGATCCAGCCAACATCCACAATCAGCAGAAAGCATGTAGAGAAGCAAGAGCGAAGGTTAGCGTCTCCGACGTCAACGAAAGCGATTCAAATGAGGAGAAAATGGTCAGAAACCGGCAACTAAATCCCAAAAGCAACAAGCGGGCTGAAGACCAGAAAGATACTTTGAGAATTTCAGCTATATGATACATCAGTTTGATTAGTTTCGATCTCATTGGTGGTAGCACAAGACAAATAAATAAAAGTATGAAAGACATTTAACAGTGAAAACATGCACACAAAAGGACTTCAAAAATAATTGTTCAAAAAGATTAAAAAAAATACTGTTTTAAAAAATGAAATTTAAATGATTTAAATGAAATTACGTTACCAGCCATCGCACACGTTTAGCTACAGGTTACATTAATCTATAGACTTTGTAACCAAACGGCACGAAGGCCGGACAGCTGCCTGAAGATTGTGTGATGATAAAGGCCAACAGCCTCTGTTCCTGGGTCGCGAGAACAATACGGTTGGGGAGGGGCGGGGGGGGTGCGTTTTGAATAAGCAGCAACCGCAGCAGGGGGGTTGCCACATAAAGTCCACATGCCTCTGCTCTTGAAGCCGCAACAGGGCGGGTGCAGTACGGCAGCTATGCAGGGCCCGGAATGGAATGGGGGCCAACGCCAGAGAGCCATTTACAGAGAGGGAGGTGTGGAAATGAACAAAGGGAGCAATGCAAACGACAGCCCTTCACATAAATCAAATGCATTTATGCTGGGGTAGCCTGGACCCCCCCCCCCGCTAGATAGCGGCCTCCATGTTCAAGAACAGGCTTATACCTCAAAAAAGGCAAGACGAGCAACCAAACGTTTACAATTTACTAACAGTCCATCGCACAGAAAAGCTCGAGTACAGATTTGAAACGACAATGAAACAGCGATTTACAAGAAATGCACAAGACACCTTCTGGAAGTCTGTTTGCATGAGGTACTGGTGGCCCTAGTGCTTGCCCTTAGCTCAAGGACTCCTACCTTGCTGGAATTCAGCCAAAAAAGGGCTCTCAGCTGTTCTTGATCAAGCTTCGAGGCTGGAACACGCACACAGCCACAGTGGATTTGCGATCTGTCCAGGAAACCCAGAGATAGAAGCTGCACAGCCTCCAGGAGCAAAGGAATCTTCTAGCCAAAGTCCAACCAGGTCCACCCTTGGCCAGAAATGGCAGATAACCCTCAGATAATGAGCTCAGGCCACACCAGAGCCCCTCTGACACACTGAATGACAACAGCGTGCAGAGCTTCACCTTTACAGTCCTTCAGAGGCCCACCGCGCAAGTTCACATGGACAGCCATTGGCTGGCTTCAGGCTCCTCCCTCTCCTGACCACACCCCTTCGTGCCAATAGGGCTGAGAATCAGCCCTGACCTCACACTTTGATCCAGTTGTCTCAAGTGCCCAGTTCGATTCAAATATTTTGCCAAAATAATGTCTTTAGAACAACACTGAGAATCAATACATTGTCTAGATTGACCTTTGCTAATGTTTGACAATGTTAATGTTTGTTTAAACAAAGAGCAGTACAGTACATTTAGAACTAAAGTTTCAGCTCAACAAAACCAAACAGATGCAGTCAGATAAGCAATATCACAACACAACACAATCTATTACATTGAGGCAGGTTCTCTTACTGAAACGATGATCACTCCCCTAGCACATGCACATAAAAGCGTGTGCAATGATCAGCCAGTCACATGACCATGGATCGCTACAGGGCTATGCATTTCACTGCAGTGGAACAGAAAAATATGGAATATATGTAGAGTTCATAAATACAATATTGGCGAGGAAATGCCGCCAAAGCTAGACAGCCAAGCTAGCAGTAGCTCTGACAGCGAAAATGCATATGTTCAGAATACATTTATTGTCACTGTACTTGGTAGTACAGCGAAATTAAGATGCAACTCCAAAGTAGTTCATAATAAAACAAATACAGACATATATCCTTAAAAAGTACACATACAGAACATGCTATAAAATGGCTACGAGGATTATCCCTATCCTGCATTTTGTCTGTACTTTAAGTGCTGAAATAAAGTGCTATTTAGAAAGAGGTGCGATTAAGAAAATGTAATTGCCTTGAAATTCCAAACAAGTCCTTTCTGCAATAATTCGTATTTTGTTCAAATCAGTTTTTGTTAATTTCACACAATACTGAATAACCTGAACCTGTCAAAACCCGTGAGATATTCTTTTATCCATCACTTCTACTCACACTTACGTGTGGCTGGGGAACACAAAGGTGTTAGCATATTAGCAGAGCGACATCCATGTTCATTTATAAATTACACCATTCAGAGTAAAAAGGCCAAAGTAAACAGGTTAATAGCTGTAAACGATGACAGACATGTCCAGCGAAGTCTGCTTTATGGACTATGGAGACTATGCACTCTACTTCCAGCTTATGCATTTCTATACATCTCACTAATAACTGCACTGCACCAGTGACTAAGCGAACCACAGCTAGTGAACTCGAAGAGCAGCAATGTGCAAGAGTTGCTGTCAACTTAAAGCGCTGAACCTCATTACAGCCGAGATCGCCTCATCATTCATGAAGACGACTTAGCACACACTGCAGAAAGTCTCGAAACCAGTGTCCATCTCTGTCTGCGGACAAAGGTCTATGGAAATAAAATACAGCTGGAAAACTGAATATGGAATTTAAAGCTACTGTGGTCACAGGCTTCTCATGGACAAGCCGCTGAGCGCTCAGGAAAGCCCATGCACTACGCCAGAGTTTCTATATTGCCTGACTTAAGTTCAGGCTTCAGATCACTAATTTCACTTCAAAACAAGGGGCAAATTAAGTGAAAATTTAGTGAAAATTGATTCTCAAAGTCACAAGGAAAAGGCATAAAATGACAAAATCGATATCTGGATTTAGTGAAAAATCGATACAGAATCATCAAAAACTAGTATTGAGATAAATCACAATCGATTTTTCTCCCCCCTTCCCACCCATAATAAGGAACTAATTTGAGACACACAAGTCTTTGCAAGGTGTGAAATGCCGGGGGGTAACCATCTAATCATCATATCCAATTAAGTCCAATTCCAAAAAACATCTATTTGGTAGACATTTATCTGATGCAGAGTATAACGGTGAAAGAACGGTCAGCAAGTCCCTTGAACAGTTGTGGGTTAAGGGCCATGCTCATTGCCAGCGTGGTTTCGCCATATTTTGGGTACGAACCAGCGATCCTTCCATCACCGAGGGCTCCTGGTGTGCTAACCCACTGAGACAAACCCAGACAAGGTGAGTCGGCACAGCATGTCCCAGACAACAAAAGGGGGCCCTGGTCATTGCTCTCAGGAGACTTTGTAGGACCTAACTACAGATGGTGGTTTTGATCTGGAAGCTTCCACGTCAGATATCCACAAAATCCTGAGAATCCTACTTCCTCTGACGATGGAGGAAGAAGGGGTGTGTTTGTCCAAACATAAGCCAGACAACGGGCCGCTTTTCAGCATCCACCCCCCACCCGGCGTGCGTTTTGCAATCTTGCCCTTTTCGGGGAGGATGTGGACGAGTGCATACTAGAGAGGCTCTTCCCGACAGACCGGACGGGAGGTACGGAAAAGCGGTTCCACGAACTTTGACATCCATGCTCTCACTTGGCCGAGCTTCGCAAGACAAATCAAAGTTCTTCCACATAACAGACCAAGCCTAGGCACTTCTGAGGGAGGAAGAAGCACAATATTTCATGTCTATTTAAAAAAAAAAATAAAAAAAAAAGCTTTTATCCAAAACTTTGTACATTTGAGAAAGTATGATCAGACAGTCCCTGGAACAATTATGGGTTAAGGTGAAGTCACCCTGCCAACCTGGGGATTTGAACCTACAACCTTCTGGTCACCGGTGCACTGTCCCACTGAGCCTTATAACATCCCCAGCTGGTTAGTCCCTCCAGTATTCATAAGTGAGGGGCACAAGTCGGGCCAACTTGCACTGAGGGAATTAATTTTACACATTTTTGTCCGAATCAAGAGGCAAACAGTCCATTCAAATAAACAGTTAAAATGTGCTTCACAAGCAAGGTATAGAGACAGCTCTTAGTGGTGGGCACCCCACAGAGGAGGAGAGTAACCCAAACCATCCCCCATACATCTAAAACATTTTTTTAAGCCGCAAGACTGTCTCAAAGTCGGCTGGAGTTTAGAAAGGCAAATTCACTGGAAAGGAATTGTGAAAACTCAATTCATACCAAAATCTTTAAAAAACAAAACCAACCCATCTTTTTCAAAGCACAAAAAATGACTTCTGACTGAAAAGGATAACTGATAAAAAAAAAATAAGCAAGTCTAAACTCACATACCATGTTTCAGAAGAACTTTACTGTAAAGGTGTGTGCCAAAACGAATTACAGGAATTAACGGAAACATACAGGTCTTGTTTAGGACTGGGAACTAGCCCTGACCTCACAATTCGATTTACAATTGCCCGATTGGATTCAATTTTGATTCTTTTTAAAGTCACATTAATGACATTCACTAATGTGCAATTAAACCAGATTTGTGGTTAAAAAAAAAAAAGAAACAAACACTGTAGCGTTAACCTTGCAGAATAAAGGAATGTAACTTACCATTACGGCAAAAATATGCAAGCATGAAAATATATTCTTGTACTTGCCTGTGAATACACCAAAATATTTTCTCCTCACTTTTCCCTCTGCAGTCCTTGTACCCAGCCACAAAAAAAAAAAACTATAGACTTTGTTGCTTTCATTTGCCAGTGTTACCCATGACTTTGGGGGAGAAAGAAAAAAACAAAACAAAACAAAAAAAAAACTCATAACCGACAGTAGGCTACATCCAATAACATTAGTTCTCTTCACATTGAAATGAAAAGCAAACAATTTATAAAACATTATTTTGCATCACTGTAAGCAGGATACTGAGTATGACCGGCACGACAAAGCCCCAACTTAACTCGACTTACTTGCATGCATTCACATGTTGGAATACTCTTACCACGACTGACAATGCACCAAGATGGCGGGGCAAGGCAACTGCGCACTATTGCAACCCTGGTTACAGAAAAAGTAGCGCTACCTATGCGATAACAGGACCAATACAAGTAAAATTCAGCAATAACATTTTCAAAGTTATGGGAGGAAAAATAAGCTAAATTTATCGGGATGAATTTTGGCATTTTGTGAATGGATATTGAATCATCAAAAACAGGATCACGATAAAGATTTTTACCCACTCCCAGTATCTATCCACTAATCACAAAATCTGCTGCCATTTCCATCTGAAAGGGATCCAACACCACAAATACCTCATACCTACAACTTCCTTGCTGGGTGAAGGTTTCCAAAACTGACAACTACTGATCCCTAAAATAGTACAAATACATAACTACATAAAATACACTGCAATTTGACTATTCTGCCCACATAAAGCTCACATCTTGTGGAAGACGCGGCTGTGGGATTTTAATTACCAGCTGCAGTAGGATTCAAGTAGGAGTCTTCCTTGGAAGGGCACTGGAAGCAGGGCAGTCTGGTTCCAGTGTACATACTGGCTAAACAGTCCAGGGCTGCTAGGAAGACTAAGTGACCACCTGGAAATGCATCTCCGCGTGTCCAGTCACTGGCCACATGCCGTTTTTGTAAATCGATTTTGGCAGACAGCCCCACAAGACAATAAGCTTTAAAATCTACAAAAAGCTTAGCTAGCATATGCTAATATGAGTAAGCAACGTGTAAAGAGCCCCAGGGACCCAACACAGCAGTAGCTAGGGCCTACGATCTTTTATGCTACTTGCATGTGAAATACACAGACTACAAGGTTAACAACATAAAATGCAGCTCAGAAATGTTAACGCAGGATAACCCAAATAATTTCCTCCAAGTCACATTGAGCAGACGGTTCGAGGGGATGTGAAGATCTTAGGAGAATCAAAATCAGAATGCCGGGCCTATGCAGTAGCCCCTCAGGCTTCATGAAATGCTGGAGACGGCCTTAATTCCCTTGTTCCATGCATGGTTTTCTGCCTTTGATGTGAGAAGAAACTCCTCCAGCCTGCGCCATCCATGAAGAGCAGCTCTGTTGAAAAGCGTTGGCATGCTGACCTCACGAAGCAGGAGGTCACGTTCTGCGGGCCAGCAGCACACCCTGCTGAGCTGGGGCCAGACGTCAACTTCCCACTCAGTATGATGCAGGCTCAGCCATGAAAGACGCTCGCGTCCTCTGATCTCATCC